AATTTTAAAATGCAGTAGCAAACCATTATTGGGTTTAAAGCAGGACTATTTCTTGTTAAGGTGGGGAAATACTTCTCTTCCCAGAAGTGTCAAAGATCAATTTGTGAAAGCAGAATACCTCAGGGGGAGAGAGCAAAGCAAAGGAGACTTGATTATTGTCATCATGAAAGATTGAATTTCACCATTCTCAATGTCTTTTCAACAGAATGGGGACAGCGTGATGGTCCTTCCAACCATCCCCGAAGAGGAAGCCAAAAAACTTTTCCCTAAAGGAGTCTTCACCAAAGAGCTCCCATCTGGCAAGAAATACCTCCGCTACACACCCCAGCCATAGGCTCGCCACAGAGTTGGTTCTGGAGCTGCCCACTTAGCACCATGAGCCAGAGGACGCCCGCTGTCCATCATGTTTCCCTGCAGCAGTCCATTAAAAACATTCTGGTGTGATCACAGCCAAGGTCTTTAGATTGCTATACTACTGGCTTATTAAATGAAAACAGCAGTAAAAATTCCTTGGGATCCTTTGTGCCTTCAGCAGCTTTCTCCTCTGTTCATATATCTTCGCACTCTCTGCTGACTCTCCTTGAAATTTGAGACTTATCTTGGATCTCTGCAGGGTTTATGACCAAGAGGTGGTATCAGTTTATGGTCAAAAAAGCCTGCTTTGCTCCATCATTACTGTGTTGGCCAAAATGTTCATTTGGCTTTTTAAAACGTGAACAAACGTTTTGGCCAAGCCAATAGAATGACTGTCAGGTTTGGGTTTGGGTTTTTTTTTTTTTTTTTTCTCTTCTAATCAAATCCTCTGTTACCCATTTTGGGAAGGAATAGAGCTTGGGGTTCAACTTCCTCTGTACATATCTATGTGTGTAACCTAAGAACTTAGAGTAACCCGGAAGTTCTTCAGTATTTCATGTTTTGATCACAACTGGGGGAAAAAACCTTTTCAATTCAGTACTTTTCTAGTAGATAAATGAAAGATGAGCCTGGGGAGAGAATCTTTAAATATTTTGCTATCAAGAAAATTTTTCAGTAAATTTCTATTGAAAGCAAGAAGCTACGGAAAAGGCTCCACTTGCCTGCCAGAGAGGTGTAGCAGAAGGCATGACAGTGCCAGATGCCTTTTGGAGAATTTCTGGATGTCAGTCTGTTCTACGATGATGTGCATGTCAAAAGGCCCGCCGTGGGGAGAGGGAGAGGACGACTGAAAATGTTTATCTATTCTTGCAGTGAGGGAGGGAGATGTTTTTCTGAATTTTGCTTCTTAGGGATCAGCAAATAAATCCTTTTGTCTAAAACGTGATCAGAGAATTCTGTTGTCACATTTTGAGGTACTAGTTCAGACTCATGTCCTGAGGGCAAGACGTCTCCTTGCTAGGACTGACACTGATGCTTCTCTCCAAAGACAGATGTATAAAAGTTCATGTAATGAAAACAGAGGAGCCACTGATGAAAATGTGATCCTGCCACATCTCCTGGCCTACTTAGCACCTTCGTATTAGTTACGTGGGCCCTGTGGAATCTCTGACCCCTGCAACAAAGAATTCCTCTAACCTAATACCTTAACAGGGGGTGCTGGATTTAAGTATGGGACATCTTTTGCTTTTCTGGAAAGAGTACGAAGGATTCCTAACTCAAGAATCTCTCAGACTTACTATACTGTCCTAGGTTTAGAAAGAAGGGTCCCACACCTGGTATAATCTCTTGCATGTAGCCCTCTATACTTTTATTGAGTAGAATAACATAAAATCTGATCCCTGGTGCTGTGTTTTAGAGAAGCCATTAATTTTTCATTTCCTTGATTTCACCACGTGTAAAATTTGGGTGATGCTAAGAAGGTTGACAAGGAAGGTGAAAATTCCAAGTCATATCCTTGGGAATGCTGGTCTGAGAGAGACTTGGCTGGCATCTTGCTGTCACCTCTTCTCCAAGTCACGGTGTTTTGTGCTTAAAGAATTAAGACTATGGTGCTCTTTAGCACATCTCTTTTGAGTAACCCCTGGCTCCTCAAATCTTGTCACCTCTGTGTTAGGTTCCTCACTGTTCTCTTCCCTTGGCTATTCACCTTCAGTCCTGCCTCTCAGAGAGTCTGGCTTAAGTCTAAATCTCCAACATTAATTATTCACACATCAGTCTTACCTTTACTGACTGATGGGACATCGGCCATTAAATTTATAAATTCAAAATCAAATTCATCAATTATTCCCCCAATAAATACATTGCCCCTCTTATCACTCAGGCATACAAACCTTGATGTTTTGTTTAGCTATATCTATCTACCCTACCCACATAGATTATGTCAGTATAAAAATGCTGAAAAACTCAAGGAAAAGGGAGGTCATGTACCCACAAATTAATTTCTGGTTCTATCACAAAGCAGCCATGAAGCCATGGGAGTGTGAGTATTCTCCAAATGTAAAATGTTACATAATGAATATGTGCTGAGAGGGTAGCAGTCTTTTTTTTTTTTAAACTTTGCATGGGAAGGAGAATTCCGCTTTCCAGAATTGTTGCTCTCAATTTCATAGAATAGATTTAATAAATCCAAAAATTTATTAGGTGAAAATGAATTATATGGCTGTTGTGGCTGAGAGAAGCTTAAGAATTTAAGAGGCAGTCTACTGGGTGCCTTCTCAAAGAATCAGCAAATGCTTTGGCTAGAAGAGAGAGCCATCTAAGATTTGCAAAGTAACTTGAGGTTCCTGGGTGGTCTTGGCAAAAGTCTGACCTTACCTCCAACCATCCCCCTGAGGGTAAGAATCCTCATTGAGAGGCTCTGAAAGGGGTAAAGAGCTAGAATGGCTGTGTCTAAAGGGGCATGTCAAGATGCCACTTGGATGCAGTGAACTGGCATAGTGATTTACTCTATTTGACCTCCACCGCTTTGGGCAATGCAAATTGAGGAAATACAAATTTGATTCAAACTTAAAGGGTACGTTAACTAGTTAAAAAGGCATTGCCACTTTGTCAGTGATTGGTTCAGCATTGAGCACTGAGACACAAATAGAGGATCATGAGTTTTAACAAGAATTCTTTCTCAAGAGCAACTAGAAGCTGTTTTTCTCTCTCATACTGAATATAAACAAGAAAACATGAGACACTGCTGCTGCAGCTAACTTACAACCTGGGAGCAGGGATCCAGCCATAGAATGAGGCTGTAAGAGCGAAGTAAGCCAGAAAGATAAAGACCATTACAGTATACCAACACATATATATGGAATTTAGAAAGATGGTAACGATAACCCTATATGCAAAACAAGAAAAAGAGACTCAGATGTATAGAACAGACGTGGACTCTGGGAGAAGGCGAGGGTGGGATGTTTCAAGAGAACAGCATCGAAACATGTATATCTAGGGTGAAACAGATCACCAGCCCAGGTTGGGTGCATGAGACAAGTGCTCGGGCCTGGTGCACTGGGAAGACCCAGAGGGATGGGGTGGAGAGGGAGGTGGGAGAGGGGGACCGTACATGTAAATCCATGGCTAATTCATTTCAATGTATGACAAAAACCACTGCAATGTTGTAAAGTAATTAGCCTCCAACCAATAAAAATAAATGGAAATAATAATAATAAACATATCACAAGATTAAAAAAAAAAAAAAAAAGAATGAGGCTGTAAAAAGGTCAACAGCCAAGTTGAGAGAAAGGAAAACATCTGACCCTTCATGATCTTCACTGAGTCTAACAAGTGTGAACCCGTCCTACCTCTGGACTACTATAACATAAAATAATAAATTACCAGACTTCCTTGGTGGCTCAGTGGTAAAGAATCTTGTCTGCCAATGCGGAATACATGCATGCGTTTGATCCCTGATTCAGGAAGATCCCACATGCCACAGAGCAACTAAGCCTGTGTGCCACAACTATTGAGCCTGTGCTTTAGCACCCCGGAGCCGCAGCTACTGGCCCCACGTTGTTACCGCAACAACTGAAGCCTGTGCACCTGAGAGCCTGTGCCCCACAAGAGAAGCCACTACAATGAGAAGCCCACACACCGCGACTAGAGAGAAGTCCCCACTCTCCGCAACTAGAGAAGAGCCTGCGCAGCAATGAAGACCCAGCACAGCCAAAAATAAGTAAATAAATTTTTTTTAAGTAATAAAAATAAATCACCTTAGTGTTTAGGCCTCTTTAAGTTGGGTTTTCTGGTACCTGAGGCCAAAAGCATCCTAACTGATACACATAGAATTAAGTGTCCTCTAGTTACTTCAAATAACATGATAATGTGCCTCATAAGATTGTAGACCCCACCACAGGCTGACATCTGTTTTTTTGCTACTTCTTTATCCCCTATCTTGTGGAACTCAAGCTTCAATATGCATTAAACTACATGAGGAGTGTGTTAAAATAAGCAAGTCAGGGCCCTTCCCCCAGACATGGGTTCTACAAGTGGCCAGAAGTTCTTCATCTGTCACAACCCAGGTGATCGTGATGCAGTATAGAGCAGACACTGCAGTTCACCACAGCCATTTCCCCTTAATCTTCATGAAGAATACCCAGATTGTATTAAGGGTGCCAAGTTGAGGTCCCAGTTAAAATTCATGCTAAGATGATAGGTGGGTGTGGTCATGTGACAGTGTTGGCCTGTTTGTGGTGGGGTCTCTTCCTGAAAGTGCCTTGCCTCACTGAAAAGCAAATGGGATGACTGAGTTACAGATGTCATTTTGCCGCCCTGAGGATAAAAGTCACAGGCCAAGGATGAAAGATAGGGAGTCAGAAAGGAAACCGGGTCTGTGATAACTTCCTTAGACAGCCAGACAGTCCTGGCTGCAGGACTGCTGTTAGGTGTGGCTGCACCTAACATCTGTTGACATGTAAGGGCTCCACAAGCCACTCTGAGAAATACTGCCCTGTTCTAGCTATCTGGAGGGGCTTGACTTTTTCTCTTGTGTTTTCTTCTATTCTTTCTTCTATTATGGTTTTCCCTGGAGTAGAGAATCATGTGTTCTTTTAAAATCTTGTTGAAATGAAAAGGAATAATGGATCCTAACTATTAAACAATCACCATAAAATTCAATTTTATTTGACTTTTTAAAGTAAAATGAAAAGTGATATTAAATAGTACTATGCAATGTAAGATTGTTAATTTCTCCTAAACTGCTTTTAATAACTAAGATTATGGAACATGGTTCCATTCTTCAGTACTTATAGATTGAGGATGGGGGGAAATAACTTTACTCTGTAAAATGTTAGGGAGGCACTAGTTGTAGCAATAACATATCAAAATTAATAGTTCCTATGCTTTAGATAGTAGTGGGTTAACTGTACAATGCTTTTGATAACTTCTACTCTATCATAGGTTGCTCTCAGCTGGATGCAGGATTTCATTTGCTAAACCATAAGTTTAAGGTATCTAAAGGATTTTGAACATCTCAAGTATAAATGCAACTACTTAAAATCAGAGCTTTTGCAGCAGTCCATCAAAATTGTTTGTAAAATAAACGCAGAGATAAATTGCTTTAGCAGTTTGTGAGTAAACTCCTTGCCAGGTAGTGTTTCAGCACTTGAGTCAGGATATTAGCTCGCTCTCTAAACTGACTCCACGTATCACGTAAGTGCCATTAAAGTCCTTTTCTAAAATGGGATCCAATTTCCAACTAAAAAAGAAAGTCAAAAGTAACATATGAGACGGTGAGCATTTCAGAAAAAAAGAAAAACAGTAAGTGCAATGGAAAACCTACTGAAAAGTTTCCATTTAATTATCTGGAACACTCCCTTTAGAAGAGCTTACATATTAAAGACTTTGAGTAAGTACGTAGGCGTGCATCACTATCCCAACAAGCATCATCTTGTAAAGAGATACATTCACTTAGTTAGAGTAGTGTATCAAAGTGCACTTAAAGATAAATGCGAGGAAAGTTGAATTCCTGTTAACTTTGTGACTGATTGCAAGGTAAACTGGAAACTTTTCTCCTAATTGTAATGAGAATTTTTTAAGTAAAGGGACCTGGAAGAGACAGTGGCAAGTGACAAGCCAAATCGCTACACACCTAATGAGGTGTCACATTTGTGAAATAGATCCCTTTAAGAAAGAGGATGACCCAGGAAGACTGCCTACAAGGAATTCAATTGCTTTGTTTAGAGGAACCAATAACCATCAGTTTGGTCAATGCAACTTTCCTTTCCCCAACAGACACACTGCAGACCACCCTGATTGTCATAAATGATAGTAATAGGCCCAGAATTTCTATTAAAAGTTTCTTAGGGTGGTGTGATGGTCACGGGACTTACGAAGCTGCGTTTCCACAGCACATCATTCTTTCGTAGAAGACATGTTTTTTGGAGTGACTGGGCAATTGGGGGAGGGAGGGCGCTGAAGGCTCCTGAAGCCCATTCTTGGCACCACTGTTGTTGATACATGGCCCGCTCCTGCGTTTGCCCATCGTCCTGTTGCGCTGTCATAGCTGTCTTCTCCAATCCACTCCAATCAGCAGTGGGCTCTGGCCCAAGTGAACTCTCTTAGGGGCCCTCACAGAGATCCCTTGAGTAACAAGCTTTGCAGGCTACCCTCCTCCCCACCAGACTTGCCTCCATGTTGTCCTTGCCCAGTGTGACCAGCCCTCTCCCTCCCTAACTCTAGGCACAGTTTCCAGCCCTTCTCAGACTTTTCTAAATTAGTTCTGATTGCTGAGGAAACTAGGAAAAGATGTCATCAGAGCAACACTTAAGTGACTCTCCCTAATAAAATATTTTGAGGCCTCTTGTTTTATCTTAAATTCATGCAAATTTGTCATCCTACTCCATAGTACATTTATTTCAATATAAAACATTTTAGATAACCTAATTGTAAAATGAGTTAACATCTCCCTTTGAAAGATTGTCAAGTAAAATTGAAACCCTAGGAAAATGCCCATGATCAACCTGTGCTCCACACACACCCACACCAGAGACCTACAGATCCATGGGAATACATATTCCAAAGAGAAACAACCATAATTAAATGCTAGTGTCTCACTGTATGCATGATGGATGGGCCTCCCCATCCCTGATCCCAGAGATCCCTACTGTTTTTTGGAGATCCCTACTTTTGAACTAAATATCAGGGGAGGACTTCCCTGGTGGTCCAGTGATTTAAGAATTTGCCTGCCAATGATCCCTGGATTTGGGACGATTCCACATACCGAGGAACAACTAAGCCTGTGTGCCACAACTAACTTGGGCCTGCATTCTAGAGCCTAGGAGCTGCAACTATTGAAGCCTGCATGCCTAGAGCCTGTGCTCTGCAACAAGAGAAGCCACTGCAATGAGAAGCCCGCACACCACAATGACAGTAGTCCCTGCTTGCCATAACTCAAGAAAGCTCATGGATAGCAATGAAGACCCAGTGCAGCCAAAATTAGTTTTTTTTAAATAAATAAATATCACGGAAGGGAATTAGGAGGGGGGAAATTGGAAGAGGGAATCATGGCAAAATTAACGATTTTCAAAAATATTCTATAATTTCAACTGTTAAGTAATTCAGGTGAACTCTAATCCCAATTTTCCCATAAGCATTCCCACTAAGAGTTTCTTTTCTCACCACCTACATGTTGCTACTTCACTTCACAATTTATTTTCACTGTGTAGTTTAATAGTCACAGTAAGAAGACTCCAAAGTGTCAAGTTAATTACCTCATCTTTTTTCTTCCACTGGTAGTCTCTCTTAGTCATTCCAAGACCAGTGTTGCCTGAGCCAATCCAAATAAATGCATAAAAGAGAAAAATTACATCAGCAATTTCAGAGTACTGGTAGCAAAAGGATATTCTGAAATCTCAGTTTACTTCCTCCCTTCAAGTCTCCCCATTCAGATGGGCTTTTTACATTTTTCCCTCAAGGAGATTTGTGAACTAGGCTCACAAAAGTCCAATACAAGTGCTGGCAAATCCAAATGAGAACAGGCAGGTCACACAGACTGAGTGGTTTGGATATAACACAAGAGGGAGGGTGTGGACTGTGGCAAACCACAGAGCATCTCTTCCTGTGTAGGAGCCAGCGATGCTCAGCTCTATCTGGTTGTTGCCACACACAGACAAAAGGACTGAGTGTTCAAAGACTTTCCAGTTTTTTTTTTAAGACAAGCTCAAAATCTGTATTTTTTTTAATGTGAAATTTCTGGATGTTTATAGTTGACAATTTTAAAAGAAAACACAGATGTAAGCCAAATACAGTGTACTGGCTGGATCAAGTCCATGGGACTGCCACTTGTGACTTTCATCCCAGACTCATTGGGGAATGCAGATAATATATTTCCCTCACTCTAAAAATTTCGCCAACTCAATAGCCCTCGGGGTGCCCAATGGAGCTGACACTAGACCCTGAGCTCCCAGCCTTGCCATATACTCCTGTCCCGCAGGAGTGCAGTGAAAGCAGCAGAGTGGCAGACCTAAAGACACTGTGAAGGCTAATTAGAGGAGCAAATCAAGGATGATTGTGTTTTCAAGCTGGAGTAGCTGGGGAAATGGTGACCCTGTGCTTGGTAAGGCAGGATGCTAAGCACTGAACAAAAGATCTTGAATGCATTTTCCCTACAGCAAGGCCTTCCTAGAAAGTCTTCTTTACAGTATGCTTAGCACCATGATATAAGCAAATAGGCACCGTACGCACTTAGTGACAATAATTATGTAGTGACTATCAAAGTCACCTCAAAGCAAGTCATTTGAGTTTTGGTTGTGACCGTGGTTGGACTATTCCATGAGCATGGGTTAGATCCTATATTCCCTTTGGTCGTTGAGAGAAAACCCGCTCCCACCCCTGGGCCTGCTGTGTCCCCCCACTCCTGCTGTCCCCCAGCAGCACTCTGGGGCTCCAGCTTACAGGATCAGAGTAGAGGCAGCAGCTGCTACCCCCCACAGCGTTGTGGAAGGAGACACATGAGAGAGTCAGAGCCACCTGGACTTCAGTGTCTGAAAGTCTCTGAAATGTGACCTCCCAGAAGCAGTGTGGCAGCCAGGGTGGGCCCATGAATGGAGACAGATGACAAACACATACAGCGCCCTCAAATCATTTTTTTAGAATAAAATGAAGCTCACATATCAAAATTCTTTCTCAGTGGTTTGCCTACCACTAAAGAGCTATCCCCTTACCCATGACCTTGGCATTATCATTTTTGTCAGGAGCAAGTGCTTGGATAACCAACAGCTTGCTTAAATCTGAAGTTCCCTGAACCTAAAGGAAAAAATCAAAATCAGTCAAAAGAGCATTCTTTGACCTCTAAACTGGCTGCCTCCTAGCCTTTCCAAAGAATATAAAAAAATAAGCCGAACATAGAACTGAGCCTCCAACCTAAGCTCTATCTTTTTCATTTCAAGTCCTCTTTTACCTTGTTTCAAAGAGTCTTGGATAGGTAGGGGATGGGTGGATGGATGGATGGAAGGATGGAAGAACAGTTAAATGAATGGATTCTTACATGGGCATATGGCTTAATACATGAAAAAGTAAGTGATCGAAAATGTAAAATAATTTTAAGAAATCTTGGGCCAGGACATTATCTTTTGCATTTTTATAAATATCAGAAAGGAAATTTCTACACCTTACTTGTAATCAATCTGGAAAATGGAATCCCCAGCATCCACTGAGTTACTTTTATTCCAACATTAACAATCAAGGGCTCAGGCCCTAGGCTTCCCAGATAGGAAAATAAATAAGCTTTTTTCCCTGAGATTTTGCCCCAGCTGCCACAAAATCTGCCCTCCCAGAATGCAAGCAGCATACATAAGTCACATATAACTATCATTTCTAGATATTATCACATTTTATCTCATTTAATCCCCACAAGAAACTTATGAGATGGCTGCTGCTATTATCCTCATCTTAGTAAGAGGAAACTGAGGGTCAGTAGGCATCTTTCTAGGTGCCTAGCCTCACACACCTAGTGGGCACAGGCATCAGGTCTTAAACCCAAGTATGGCTGACTCCAAACTCTGGTGTCTTAACAAAACTGTGGGGATTGCTCCCATGGTTCCCTACCCCTTATTTCAAAGTTAAAGTGATTTTTCACTTTCTATTTAAAAAAAAACATTAAATTACCTTCACCTTCTGAACTGTTGAGAGGTTGACAAAACAAGTATGTTAGGAAAGTGGCAAATGCACTTTTTAGGAGCTTAACCAACTTTTCTAGGACTCAAGTTTTCATTAAATTAATGACCTTTCTCAGCCTGAACAAGCAGAAAAGGTCTCTCCCAAAGGGGAGAGACTTGTTACCAAAAGAAAGAGATGCTAGCTCTTCTCACAGCCTCTTAGTCCTCATACTTGGGCTCTGTCCTCACGTCACAGCTGTGGTCTAACAGCAAGTGGCTTCACCCATTAGGGACCTGGCTTCTATTCTTCCCATCCCCTGTTACATCCCCAGGCACTCACCCGTCCCCCTCCCTTACAGAGGCAAGGAATGATGAGGCTTAGGGTCCTCTATTGAGTTGTGCCCCTAGGCCTTAATGTGGCAACAAAGTGACATGACCCTGACGCATCTCCCTTCTTATCGACCAGCGCAGATACTTCCAGAACCATCCTAGCAAGCAGTGTCACTGCCTTACACGCAAACTAGGAAAAATGCTCCCCATCCTTCTCTAGGGAGGCACGGCCCATGCCAGGGCAAAGAGCTTGGCAAGCAGAGAGTAGGCAGATCCCTGCCCCACTGGCCCCTCAGGTACACTCTCATGCAGGGCACAGCTTGCATAACACAGCACACAAGCCCTGGGGACATTCTGACTGTTTTGTTAAGGGCAGGTGAGAACTATAGGGTCTTTCTAGGTTTAGAGAAACCTAAATTTCTTTAAGATGGTTAGTTGAGTTTTTAAAGTCACTTATGGGGCACCATGAAAAGCAAACTCTTAAGAAATGACCCTCCTTACCTGTTCACAGGGTTTAGGTAAAATGCAAGGTGCAAAATATGGTACCTCTGTCTTGGTATCAATAACACTGCCATACACAAGAATAACAAATTTCATGTTCACGTCATCAATACTCATTTCATTATAGCTTGATAAAGTCTCCACATATGCATGATTTAGCATCACACACTTCTGAAATTTTAGGTCCTACAATAAAATTAGATTTTTTTCTATAAATTGTATAAAATAACACATGATATCAAGAAGAAAGCATATTCCACATGAAAAGATGTTCAACATCACTAATCATCAGGGAAATGCAAACCAGCTCAACAGAATGGCTATCATCAAAAAGACAACAAGTAACAAGTATTGGCAAGGATGTAGAGAAAAGGGGGAATCTTCTGTGGACTGTTGGTGGGATTGTAAATTGGTGCAGCCACTATGTAAAATAGTAGGAAATTCCTCAAAAAATTAAAAATTAAACTACCATATGATCTAGCAGTCTCACTCCTGGGCATATATCCAGAGAAAAGATACATGCATCCCAGTGTTCACTGGACCAATTTTCACAATAGCCAAGGCATGGAGACAACCTAAATGTCCAACAACAGAGGAATGGATAAAGAAGACGTGGTATACATATACCATAGAATAGAACAGAATGAAGTAATGCCATTTGCAGCAACATGGATGGACCTAGAGATTGTCATACTAAGTGAAAGAAGCCAGACACTGAAAAACAAACATCATGTGACATCATTTATTATGTGGAATCTTAAAAAATGATACAAATGAACTCATCTACAAACTTATGATTACCAAAGAGTGAGGGAGGGATAATCACATAAACACTACTATATATAAAATAGATAGCCAACAAGTACGTATTATATAGCACAGGGAACTATACTGATGTTTTCTAATAGTCTCTAAGGCAAAAAGAATCTGAAAAAGAATACAATATATATATATTATAACTGAATCACATTGCTGCACACACGAAAATAACAAAACATTATAAATCAAGTATACTTCAATTTATTTTTCAAAAAAATCCATGTGTAGGTGTTTGTGTGGACATAGTTTTTGGACATAGTTTTTTAACTCCTTTGGGTAAATATCAAAGAGAGTGCTTGCTGGATCATATGGCAATAGCATGTCAGTTTTGTAAGAAACCACCAAACTCTCTTTCAAAGTGGCTGTGTACCATTTCGAATTCTCACCAGCAATGAAGAAGAGTTCTTGTTGCTCCACACCCTTGCCAGCATGTGGTGCTGTCACTGGCCAATTAATAGGTGTATAACAGTACCACTTCCTTTGTGGATCACTGCCTTGTTGTGGCAAAGGGGCTTGCATAACACAATGAAGCCTATGAGCCACGCTTTGCAGGGCCACCCTAGACAGACGGGTCACAGCAGAGAGTTCTGACAAAACGTGATCCACTGGAGGAGGGAATGGCACACCACCCCAGAGTGCCATGAGAACCTCATGAACTGTATAAAAGGTCAAAAAGATATGACACCAAAAGATGAGTCCTGCAGGTCTGAAGGTGTCCAGTACGCTACTGGGGAAGAGCGGAGGAGAATTACCAGTAGTAATGAATAGATTCAAGGGACTAGATCTAGTTAACAGGGTGTCTGAAGAACTATTGACAGAGATCCGTAATACTGCACAGAAGGCGGCAAACAATACCATCCCAAAGAAAAAGAAAAGCAAGAAGGCAAAGATGTTATCTGAGGAGGCCTTACAAACAGCAGAAGAACGAAGAGAAGCGAAAAGCAAGGGAGAGAGATAAAAGTACATCCAGTAAACACAGGGTCCCCAAAAATAGCTAGAAGAGACAAGAAGGGCTTCTTTAATAAACAATGCTTAATAACAGAAGAAAACAACAAAAGGGGAAAGGCTAGAGATCTCTTCAGAAAAACTGGAAACATCAAGGGAGCATTCTGCCCAAAGATAGGCACAATAAAGGATAAAAATGGTAGAGATCTATAGAAGCAGAAGAGATCAAGAAGAAATGGAAAGAATACACAGAAGAACTGTATAAAAAAAGATCTTAATTAACCGGATTACTAAAATGGTGTGGTTAGTCACCCATATCCAGACATTCTGGAGTGTGAAGTCAAGTGGGCCTTAAGAAGCACTGCTGTTAATAAAGCTATTATTAAGCTTTAATAGCTTTAATAATAAAGCTATTATTATTATTTCATCTACTAGAGATGAAATTCCAGCAGAACTATTCAAATCCCTAAAGGATGATGCCATCAGGGTTTTGCATTCATTATGTTGGCAAATCTGGAACACCCAGCAATGGCCAGAGAATTAGAAAAGGTCAGTGTTTATCCCAGTCCCCAAGAAGGGTACCAAAGAATGTGCTAACCACTGGACAACTGCACTCATCTCCCATGCTAGTAAGTGAAGTGAAAGTCACTCAGTCGTGTCCGACTCTTTGTGACTCCATGGACTATACAGTCCATGGAATCCTCCAGGCTATAATACTAGAGTGGGTAGCCTTTCCCTTCTCCAGACGATCTTCCCAACCCAGGGAATCTTCCCAACCAGGGATCAAACACAGTACTCCTGCATTGCAGGCAGATTCTTTACCAGCTGAGCCACAAGGGAAGCCCAGTAAGGTTCATGCTTAAAATCTTGTGTGTTAGGCTAGGCTTCAACCTGATGTGAACGAAGAGCTTCCAGATGTCCAAGTTGGGTTTAGAAAAGGAAGAGGAACTAGAAATCAAATTGCCAACATTCACTGGATTATACAGAAAGTAAGGGAATTTCAGAAAAACATTTCTGTTTCCTTTGACAGTGTGGATCATGACAAACTGTGGAAAGCTCTTAAAGAGGTGGGAATACCAGATCATCTTACCTGTCTCCTGAGAAGCCTGTAAGTGGGTCAAGAAGCAACAGAAGTATGGAACAACTGATTGGTTCAAGATTGAGAAAGGAGTACAACAGGGCTGTCTGCTGTCACCCTATTTGCTTAACCTATACACTGAGCACATCATGAGAAATGCCAGGCTGGATGAATTACAAGCTGGAATCAAGATAGGTAGGAGAATCAACAACCTCAGATATGCAGATGATACCACTGTAATGGCGAAAGTAAAGAGCCTCTTGAGGGTGGGGGAGGAGAGTAAAAGAGCCAGCTTAAGACTAAATATCAAAAAAACTAAGATCATGGCATCTGGCCCCATTACTTCATGGCAAATGGCAGGGGAAAAGGTGGAAGCAGGGATAGATTTCCTCTTCTTGGGCTCCAAAATCACTGCGGACGGTGACTGCAGTCATGAAATCAGAAGACAATTGGTTCTTAGCAGGAAAGCGATGACAAACCTAGACAGGTGTGTTGAAAAGGAGAGACATTATTCTGCCGACAAAGGTCCATTTAGTCAAGGCTATGGTCTTCTCAATGGTTATGTATGGTTGTAAGAGCTGGACCATAAAGAAGGCAGAACGCTAAATAACTGATGCCTTCGAACTGTGGTGCTGGAGAAGACTCATGAAAGTCCTTTGGCCAGCAAGATCAAACCAGTCAATCTTAAGGGAGATCAACCCTGAATATTAAGGACTGATGCTGAAGCTGAAGCTCCAGTAATTTGGTCATCTGATGCAAATAGATGACTCATTGGAAAAGTCCCTGGCGCTGGGAAGGATTAAGGGCAGAAGGAGAAGAGGGTGTCAGAGGATGAGATGGCTGAATGGCATCACCAATGCAATGAACATGAACTTGGGCAAACTCCGGTAGATGGTGAGAGACAAGGAGGCCTGGCAAGCTGCACTCAGTACCTGGGGTCACAGTCAAACACGATTGGGCAACTGAGCAACAACAATGGTATCACATTGTTGCATTTCTCTGATGACATATGATATGGAGTATCTTTTCCTATATTTACTTGCTATTCATATATCTTCTCTGGTGAAGTTATCTATTATCAGCTTTGGCCCACTTTTTAATCAGGCTGGGTTTTTCCCCTACTGTTGAGTTTTAAAGCTCCTTGTATATTTTGGATAATAGTTCTTTATCTGATATGTCTATTGCAAATATTTTCTCCCAGTCTGTAGTTTGTCTTCTAATTCTCTTAATATATGCTCATTTTTAACCCAATATTTGTATTCAGTATCACAATTCAATGAATGTTCTTAAACTTCAGGTTTGTCACTTCCCCAGTTCCTAACTCATGGTAGGGGCTCAAAAAATTACTAAATGGAATGCAAATATAGGTTGGAAATTGTACCAGTCTAAGAAAAGACCTGAAATGCTACTTTTTGAAGAGAAAGTTCATAGATGAGGCTTGGTAAACTCAATAAAAATTTGAAAAGGCAAATAATTTATAATAACATAGGTAGATAGAATAGACTAATAAACACCAAACCTGTGCTCAGTAACTCACTAATTAATGCTATGCTTGATTCTTGGGGATCTACCTATTTAAGATTTGCTTACTCTCTTATTTTTAAGGGATGACTGGGGGTAGCCTGGGAAAAATCAGCTATCACAAGAAGACCAATGACCTGTAGGAACTCAGAATAACAGAGTGGTAAAGGTTCTGAAATCTTACTTTGAAAGATCAAACATACCTTCTTTTCTCTGTCTCCAAAATATGAAATTAATTTTGTAAAAAAAATACAGGAAATAAAACTTCATTCATATTTTAATCATGCAACTTACCTCATCAACAAGACTTGATTCAAAATACTGATAGGCAATACTGAGAGCAAGCTTCAGCCATATTTTATATTCCAGGGATGGCCAGAAGAAATCAAAGCCTTCATATAAATCCTCCAGGGAGATAAAGCAGGCCTGAAATGACAAGGCATCAAACAGTATGCTTGATTTGAAACTAAATTATGAAATCATCAGAAAAACAAATGCCTGTAGGACTTCCCTGGTGGTACAGTGGATGAGAATCCACTTGTCAATGCAGGGGACACGGGTTCAACCCCTGGTCCAGGAAGATTCCATGCACCTCAGAGCAACTAAGCTCATGAACCACAACTACTGAGACTGCATGCTGCAACTACTGAAGCGCCGGTGCTTAGAGTCTGTGCTCTGTGGTAAGAGAAGCCACAGCAATGAGAAGCCTATGCACCGCAAAGAAAAGTGGCTCCCACTCACCACAGTTAGAGAAAGCCCTCAGCAGCAATGAAGACCCAGCACAGCCAAAAATTTTTAAAAAGCCTGTAAGTTTCATCTTCACCCAACCTCCTAGAAAAACTATCAACTCTAGGATATTAATTTTGATACTCTGCTATTTAAGTATAAGATGATAAAATGTACAGTCCAATTAAAGCTATAGACAATACTAGTCCAGAAAATTTTATATTAATCAATAACTAGGATAATCATGAGCCCAAGATTATGGAACTAAGCCACATAAACTTATTTATTTTTATTGCCACAGTAGGTAACATGGGCTCATTCACAGTATTCGCTTTCAGAGCAAAGTGCCAATCCAAACAAGGAAGACGACTCTCAGAATTCAAGCTACCTGAACTTCAGTGAATTCAGTTCAGCCTTGTGAATACATTCGTGTTTTCTATTCTCTTCCAAAAGTGAAATGGTATGAAACTGATAAAGCAACATTCCTTTCTGTCTGTCACACTCCTAAGACTCTGCACCTTGCTCCATTGCATCTAATAGTACCCGAAGCTTGAGAATTCTTTGTAAGTAGGAAGTTTCACTAATTTCTATTTGAATTGCCCAGAGCTAGCCCACTATCAGACCACTTATTTGTTAAATAAAATTCTTACTTAGCAAGTGAAAAATGGAAGAAAGAGATTTGAAACACAAGTATTCTTTAAAAACACTACTTCCATAATGGCAGCCATTTATGGAGCACCTAAACATGCCAGGCATCTTACATATGTGTTTTCCTTACCTTTATAACATCAGAAATTAGATATTTTCTCTTCTAATTAAAAAAAGTGACAAAGACTCTTTGGTTAAAATATCTCCCTCCAGTTCAAGAGGGAGGGGACATAGGTATACCTATGGCTGATTCATGTTGATGTTTGGCAGAAACCAACACAATACTGTAAAGCAATTATCCTTCAGTTAAAAATAAATAAATTTAACTGTTTAAAAAAAAATCTCCCTCCAGATACCATAGTCGATGTGAGACATCAAATTGGCCTTTCTGAGCTACACTGCTTCACAATAGCTGGTTGGATTGACTAAGATAATAGAACCCAAAAAAAGAAAAATGCTGGCACTCCTTTCTGACTTGAGGAAGAATTAACTAACAACCCACAATACAGACAGAACCAGGTGCTTACCTGCAAAATAGTTTCACAGATGGCAGTATATTCAATTTCACGCTTAAGTAAACAGCTCAACTCTCCAATTATGTCTCCACTGGTACAGTACTCTGTAAACCTAGTTGTGGACTCTCTGTCAGGCCTTAGACTCCTGTCTATTCCAAAAGTAGGAGGTGAACTCTCCAACTGCAATGGGGAAATAATTGAGCAAAGGGAAATACAAAATTAAGAGCCCTTGACCAAACCCTAGGAGCTCCCAGTGTTTCTTGCAATTATTACAATAGAAGGAAAAGATTCTTTATGAATCCTTTCAGATGGGAAGGAGGAATTGGGCTTCTAAAAATCATTTCTTTCACATTTCAACTCTCCAAGCTGAGACTGTTTCCAATCTTTAGCTTTACAGATGACCCCTATTTACCTTCCTTATATAAAAATTTCATCAAAAGTAGTCATAGCAATCTGCCACTAAATGCAAGTACCCACTCTAAGTCTATTAGATATTCTTAGCATAATGGGCTCGTGCCTCAGGTCCATTTGATGCATTTGATGCATAAACCAGATATCATGAATGAATATGCCCCCAAACCAAGTCATAATTTCAGCAGAAATATTGCCTCCCTTAAGATGCTTAAGAATAATCACCATGAGACATTAGCAGAAAAAGGTTTTAGGATGAACACAGGATGGTTGTTACTTCAGGAAAAGAACTGGTAGGCATGGGTGGGTGTAAAAGAAAGTCATCTTTCTTTTCAGGAGATTCAAAAGATTTTAGGAGGAAGATGCAAGAATTAACCAGAAGGTTTACAGAACTTTCCAGAAAGTTTAGTTGTAAGTGCCAAAGAGGAAGGCTGTTGCCCAAGACACAAGAAATGGAAAAAAGTCACTGAAGGAATTGCTGTGAAAGTTGTACCCTCTCCTAGCGAGGACCACCATTCAAACTTGTAGAGGCACACATGCTTCCAAAGAACTCCAACATTTTTAAACTTAATTTTTAATGAAGTCCAAAAGCCTTTTGAGTACAAGTCCCCTACACACAAACAAGTTCCATTCTGAGAGCATGTTCTTAAGTCCAATATGTTTGTAAGTTCAACAAAGTTAACCTAGGTGCCCAGCTAACACAATTGGCTATATAGTACTGTACTGTAATAGGTTTCTAATACTTTTCACACAAATAACACATAAAAACAAACACAAAAAACAAAGAAAACATTTTTAAGCCTACAGTACAGTATATTGAAAAGTTCAGCAGTACAGCTGGCATACAGGGGCACCTCGTATCTTTGAAAGTTTGCAACTTGAAGGTCTGTATGTAGGGGACTTAACAGTAAAGAAGAATGGCTCTGCTTTTTACAAACCAAGGAAAGATGATTACATCCGTAGCAAGCAGAATTTTAAAGAAGGCCTTCCAAGGTTCCTATCTTTTTGTTATTCAATCAAACATTGATCTATGAACTGCTGTGAAGGGATTTTGCAGATAGAATTAAGGTTACTAATCAGCTAAACTTAAAGAGATGATTCTGGATTATCCTGTGGGTTCCAATGTAATCACATGATCCCTCAAAGTAGAAAAGGAAGTAGTCATCAAGATTGGAGAGGGAAAAATGAATTGATTTCTCTGTCCATCAGTTTTCTCATGAGGTTGATAGAAGGACAAAATGTCGTAACATATTGCCATTCTCGATCATCTTTTTAAATGTCACAACTAGCCTCTTCAACTCTTGATCACTGCTAACATACTACATATTTGACTTAGGTATTTTGTCCATTGTTCCATCTCCTTCTATGCTTCTATAAGAAATTAACTTCTAAGAAGACAGGGTTTTTTTTGTATTTTCTCAGTTCTTTGCCTAGAATGAACATGCCTACTGCATGATAATAATGAAGTAAATATTTGTTGAATGAATGAGTAAATGAATGAACAAAAAGTGCCAGACACTTAATAAGTGCTATACATGTGTTAGTATTTATAATTATAGCTTATTTCCATGATTAGTTTTTGTATTTTTAAGGTCTGAAACACTCATTCTAAAAATATAAAGCCAAATATATTATTTGCACTAATAATAAGGGTTTGTCACTTATAACTGTCATATAGGATCTAGAAATTATGTTGGTCATAGCTGGGGTTCACCCATGGATCCAGCAACCGGTATTCAGTTTCTAAAGGATTCTCATCCCTATCACTCTTACTGATAACAAAAACCTCCTATTAGTTAAAAATGGTATGCTCTTCATCCCTATTCGACCTCTGGGAGAATGTGACACTGCGGTCTATTTCCTCAATCTTGACGCTCATTCCCTTTAGATGAGTAACCCAACTACTCCAAGTACTGGGTTCCTTGTGTGACCATCACAGAAAAGACTGTTCCTGCCAGGATTGTTGTAAAGAATAAGTGATAATTATGAAAGCATTTTGTAAGATGGGAAGCTCCTTTGAGATGGTGGGTGTTATAATTATATCTCTCAGCTGTGGTGTTAGCTCCAAACAGAAATGGTTTCATTTAGAAAAGAAATTATGTTAAAAATTTGAAAGTTTCTTGGTTCCTAAATTTCTCCTTACGTGATCATTACAAATTTCAGGATACATTTGTAGTAAAGAATGAATAGTTCCTTACGATTGCCATTCCTGAAATAATCAAGTAGATTCCTTGCGGCATTTCACCTTCTTTACAAATGACATCTCCGTAGTCAAAATAGGCGAGTTTAGCTCTTTCCTGAAAGAAAAGAAACAGGAAAGGAAAGAAAAAGAATCAACACAAATCTTCATAATCTACTTCTCTAAAGAGAAATAAGATTTTAAAGCTAAAAAGTAGCATGAAAACAAACTATATTCTTTGATTTGTTAATGAGTTGTAATGTTTTAACAAACCTCATTAACTTTTAGGGGGAAAAGGGACAAGCAAGCAAACTGCAGACTTTGTGCTTAGGACCTAGCAGAGTGACTGGCAGAAACACCCAATAAATGCTAGGTTGGATAAATGTTTACAATAAAGTGTAATAATTCTGGTCAAGGATACAGGGGCAGGGTGCTCTGGGAAACAAATTCAGAAAGGCCACAGGAACCCTGACTTGGGTGTCTAGGGAAGGAACAGCTAAACTGAGACCTGAAGGAAGAGTAACAAAAGACAGCCAGGATACCATAAACTGAAGACCATTCAGGGCAGAGGATTCAGTTTATGCAAAGACCCATTAGCAAATAGAATAACTGCATTGTGGGGTAACACAGAAGATTCAATACATCTCAGGCAGGGAGGGATGGAGACCAGAGTGGAGTTATCCATTAGGCATCAATAGACACTGTCCAGAGTTCACAGTACTTTTAGGGATTCACAACAATGTTTTAGTTTCTTTTAAAATCAGAAGAAAATAAGACAACTTTTAGGTAGAGTAAAATATCTTAATACTAAAGCATCTAATGCTAATATGTTCATCTTTATAGTAACAAAATCACAAGGTATAATTTTTTGGTGCTTTTTCATGGAGGTAAAGGCAGAAGCGCCTGGAGTCCGGGTGGAGGCAGGACTGGAGAGGTGAGCCGGAGCCAGGTCTCCAAGGGGCTCACATGCACAGTAAAAAGCCCGCACACTCTGGAGCCCGGGCACCGCAACTAGATAAACCATGTGGCACAACTAGAGAGTCTACTTACTTCAAGGAAAGATCCCATATGAAGTGACGAGGATCTCATGTGCCACATAAGATCTGACACATCCAAATAAATAATTTTTTTTTTTTAAGTCTGAGCTTTTCCCAAAACCAGGGGGTAGTCACTGAAGGGTTTCTAACAGGAGACTTATGGTGACATGTTTGCATTTTACAAAGATGTGGAGGAAACATATTTTTAAATCATTCATAGTAGTCATCACTTAGAGTAGGGTGGGGAGTGAAAGGATATCACTTTTTACTTTTGAATTATTTTACAGTGTTGACATAAACATGGATGACTTCACAATAGTTTTTTTTTAAAGCTGGCTTAAGCCAATTATCCAGCTTATGTATTATTCAGATCTTTATTTTTTTCAATTGTTGTCTTTAGGCTTATCCTCATATACTATTACCTTTTTAATTAACCACAACAGTTGAAGGATGAAAGGAGGAAGGAGTAGTGAAAATTAACTATTGCTGCTGTGATAGAGACCAAGATTGAAATAACATCTATAATGAGGGGGTATTTCTTTTGTTTACTATATGGATTTTTCCATGCATTCCCTGGGCTAACCCTAATGAGAATAATGCTCATGTGCTCCCAAGTCATCACATTTTTCTTTACCCCAGTGAAATCTGATTTAAGTGGCTACCAATAACCAACATATTAAGGAAAAGGGCCACTTAATGAGTGAGCCATTTTAGAGCCAGAGAGCTGCACCTACCAAGCCCACGTGCAGCAACTACTGAAGCCCGGGTGCTCTAAAGCCCATGCTCCCCAGCAAGAGAAGCGACTGCAATGAGAAGCCCAGCACTGCAATGAAGAGTAGCCCCTGCTCTCTGCACCTAGAGGAAATCCACACAGCAATGAAGACCCAGCACCACCAAAAATTAAAAAATAAACATTTTTTTTAAAAGAGTGAGTCATGTCTGAAAGGGGGTGGAGAGAGTCTGACAGCTTTGCTTAGGCATGGCAGGCTAAGGAGTGGAGGAAGCTTGTGCCCTAGTTATAGATTCATCTCAGGTGTATGGAAATCATTAATTTATGGAGCTCCTACCCATTGTTTTTCCCATTCCTCCCCCATTCACTGCAGGATGGTCAGTTAATTATACTTGTGAGAACATTACCTATAAAGAACAAAATTCAAATTTTAAACTTGGATATTTAAAAAAACTGAAGAGGATGCATATTGTAATCAACACCCCTTAGATACCTTCTTCCCAGTCCAAGCCCATCCCTCACCTCCCACCCTCTATTCCCCATACTACCTTCAACGGCCCCTGCCCACTAGGTTTCCCCCTTCTCACAGTCACACTTGTACTCCCCAAACCTGGACGTTTGATTCAAGCTAAGCTAGTTGGATTTCTCTCTCAAGAATTTGAACTAAAGGACAAAGAACCTGGGAGTAAGAACTGGGTCATTACAGCCATGTGCTAAAGGAAGAGTCCACAAATTCCTACCACTGACATTCCAGAGCTGGCCTGATTCCTGCCCTGTTCAGGGTTAGTCTCAACTGTTTCTTAGCATCTGTTGTTCACTTGCTAAGTCACGTCTCACTCTTTGCGACCCCATGGACTGCAGCATGCCAGGCTTTCCTGTCCTTCACTATCTTTCAGAGTTTGCTCAGATTCATGTCCACTGAGTGGGTGATGCTATCTATCTCATTCCCTGCTGCCCCTTTCTTCTCGTATACCACTGCAATATATTGTTAGTAAGATCCCCTCTTGCTTAAACTAGTTCAGATAGGGTTTTGTTACTTTCAACCATACGAGTCTTAATTTAATTAAATTTGAAATTAATTTCAAAAGGAAAATTCAAAAATTTCTGGCATGAAGTAAACACTAGTATGGCCTAAATGAAATCAGATCTTCAAAGCTCAGTAGAAACCCTCTTATGACTGCTCTCTTTCTAGAAAACAAGGAAAACTTTCCCTCATTATAGTTAAACAGATGACATACATCTCCACGTCTAGATCACAAGGCAGAGTAAAACCAAATTTACAGTAAAGCAAGTACCACTCTTTGTCACAGTTTTCCTGATTCCAATAGGTTTCAACAAGTTGATGAAAGAGTTATTATTCCTATAATTCATATAACTATGATATAATTCATATAATTACCAGGGCTTCCCTGATAGCTCAATTGGTAAAGAATCTACCTGCAATGCAGGAGACCCCGGTTCAATTCCTATATCGGGAAGATCTGCTGGAGAAGGGATTGGTTACCCACTCCAGTATTCTTGGGCTTCCCTTGTGGCTCAGCTGGTAAAGAATCCACCTGCAATGTGGGAGACCTGGGTTCGATCCCTGGGTTGGAAGATCCCCTGGAGAAGGGAAAGGCTACCCACTCCAGTATTCTGGTCTGGAGAATTCCATGGACTGGTATAGTCCATGGGACCACAAAGAGTCAGACACGACTGAGTGACTTTCACTCATATAATAGCCATTTAAAACTAAAACCACAAACTGGTGGCCCATGAGTCATATCCAGTCCACAGATATATTTTGTTTGGCTTGCACTACTGCTGCTGCTTATCTTTAAAATTCTGAATTGGTTGCCAAGTTTTAAAATTCACATAAAAACACAGATGTATGGATTCTCCTTTAAAAAATTGACTTTTACATTATTAAATCTAATCTAATTATTAAATCAATTTTCAGACTTCATCTTATAATATGTGATCTCTCAGCCTCATATGATATAGTTGATCACTTTCTCCTTCTTGAAATACTTTCTTCACTTAGCTCTGGCACACCATTCTTTTCTCCTATTTGATGGATAACTCCTCAATTCTTTTTCAGCTTTACAGAGACAGAACTACTCAGCAATAAAGAGTCCACCTGCAATGCAGGAGATGCAGGTTCAATCCCTGGGTCAGGAAGGTCCCTGAAAGAGGAAATGGCAACCCTCTCCAGTATTCTTGCCAGGGGAAATACAATGGAGAGAGGAGCCTGGTGGTCTATAGTCCATAGGGCTGTGAAGAGTCAGACACAACTGAGTGACTGAGTATACACACACACACAATATAAGTTTAAGGTATACAGCATAATGACTTGACATGCACATATTGCAAAATTACTATCACAATAAATTTAGTTAACATACATCACTTGATATAGTTATGAAAATTTTTTCCATGTGATAAGGACTTTTAGATTCTACTCTCCTAGAGCTTTCAAATATACTGTACATATATGACTATATAACATAGTTGTCATGTTGTATACCTAGTATTTTTCTATCTTGTAACTTGGAAGTTTGTACCCTTTAACCCACTTGTCTAATTTACCCAGCTTCCACTCCCCTCCCCTGGCAATGATCAATCTGATTCATAGCTCACAACTCAACCCTTGGATGTTCATAACAATTTCTTGAGTTATCAAGTTTCAAGGCCTTAAATATTATATCTATGCTGACAACTCCAAAATGTCTTTCTCCAATTTGACCTCCCACCTACATTCTAGTCATATATCTAACTGCCTACTCAACAGCTCCACTTGGATGTCTAATAGCCTTCTCAAATTTAACTTATTCAGAATCAAACTCTTGCCCAACTCCCACCCCATATAAATCTTCTCTTCCCCATCTAAATAAAGGGCTAATCCATTTTCAGACTATTTTCTATTTCAGTCTAAAATTCTAGAAGTCATTCTTTCTCTTTCTAGCACTCACTCCATCAACATTTATATGCTGTCTCTTCAAAACCTATTGAGTCTGAACTCCTCTCACCACTTTCACTCGTCCAAGTCACTATCATCTCTTACCTACATTATCATAATCATCTCCTAACTGGATGCCCTGGCTTGCCCTTGACCCCCTACAGCCTATTCTTAACACATCAGCAGATGATCATTTTTAAGTGTAAGTTAGATCGTGTCACTTCTCTCTTCAAAACCTTTCAACATGTTTCCAATTAATTCTGAGTAAACACCAACATCCTAACAATGACCTACAAAGTTCTACAAACTCAAGCTTGCCATAAATGCTTTCGTCTTCACCTCCTCCCTCCAGCACTGGTCCTGCCCACACGGGCCTTTGTGATGCTCCTTGAACAGAGCAGTCAGGGCTTCCCTGCTGGCTCCAGCAGTAAAGAGTCTGCCTGCAGTTCAGGAGACCCGGGTTTGATCCCTGGTTCGGGACGATCTCCTGGAGAAGGAAATGGCAAACCACTACAGTACTCTTGCCTAGAAAGTCCCATGGACAAAGGAGCCTGGCGGGCTAGAGTCCATGGGGTCGCAAAGAGTTGAACACGACTGAGCGACTTCACTTTGAACACAGCAAGCAAATCTACTTCAGGGCACTGCACTTGCCTTCTCCCAGATATCAAGATGGTGTGCTCCCTCACTTATTTCAGATCTCTGTCCCAAGGAAAAGTATTAGAGCAGTCTTCTCTAACCATCCTTATAAAATAGCTGCCTACCTATATTCTCCTTTTTCACCTTTTCTCCATATAGCATTTGTCACCACCTGACAGACTATGTATTTATGCATGGGTATGTTTATTGTCCATCTCCATCCATATAACATAAAGTCAATGAAAGCAGGAATTTATTTATTTTGTTCACTGCCGTATCCCCAAACCTAGAACATTCTGTGGCTCAAAGAGGCTATTCAATAGCTACCTATTGAAAGAGTACACATTCCTATAGGAACACTCAGCTGACTTCAGATGAAGCATGAACTCTGGAATATACTATAGTCCTGTTCCCTATTTATATTACACCCAGATGGTTTTACTTTTATATTATCTGCCTGGCCTGCAAAGTAACTTAAATATGAAACCCTTGATCTAAAAGTCTTTTCCAGAGTGTGCATCTAGAAGTCTGGGGCTCTTCATCAGAAAATAAGATAGGACTGATAATAATTGGGTAACGTATAAAAAAAAAAATATCATCCTAAGCAGATAAGCAATTATAAAAAAACTCTTTGCAGTTTAGGCTCAAAATGAAATCCACTCTTCTAGGTTTTGCTGGGCCTCCATTTGACTTATCTTTTACTGCCCATTACAGGAGTCTTGCCTTGGATAAGTTTTTTTTAATTTTTAATCTTGTATTAGGGAATGAAAAATAATTATCATTGAACATGAGCTAGAATATAACACAGAATCTTTACCTTGAAGAATTCGATGAGAGCATCTTTATTTTCTAGCCAAATGATATTATGAAGATATTTGTCAGGAGTAGGGAGCGGGATTGCCATTGGAAAGTTATTCAATGGTTTTATTTTTTCAAGAAGTACCTAAAACAAATAATCAAAATAATGATGATCAGATCCTGTAACAGAAAAGGGACATCAGGTAAAAATGAAGGAAATCTAAATAAAATGCTTTTATTTAGAGCTTTTCTTCTTTAAATTGTCCTCTAATTTTTTTTTGGGGGGGGTGGTTCTTTTTCTCCACTTACTATTTTCACTGGTATATTAACTCATATAGAATTTATCCTTTTTATAATCCAATTAATAGCTGTATTCTATTCTGTCTTAATCTCAAACTTAACTGTTGATTACTATATGATTTAATGCCACATTCTCTCAAATTTTTTTTTTTCATGTGATTGAGTTGCTTCTTTACATTCTTCTCGCTTTGGAGGATAAGGTTCTAGTTTTGTGGCCTTTCAGAAGTCTTCTCTGACTTCTGCAAGTAAGACGTAATCACTTACTTGCCTTATTCCCTGGGTATCTCTTACAAATCTCCCTTACGGAACTCATTACATTGTAGTATTATTATGTTTACTTATCTATGATATGTAATTTCTGTTGATTGCCTGGATAAATGACTAAATGAAAAAAGAGGAAGAGTGTCCACGACTTTGGAATCAGTGTTGTACTCATTAAGTATCCAAGTATCCTCAAGAGTCATGGCACATAGGTATTCAACATATACTTAGCTAAATTGGCTAGATTTACCCAGCTCCTTACAGCCTGGGATTGATAATTATACCTCTTCAGCCAACAATTAGGCAATTAACAAATAACGGTGGAATGATTGATTTGTCCCTTACCTTTCTAAATAAACCTATAGGAAAAAAATAAATCTCTCTCTTCATAAGGGCTATTGTTTATTTAACTAACAGGTATCAATCATTCAATTGAATCTTACACAATCTTCAAAGTAATAAAGGAAAAATAGAAAAAAACACAACTTGCACAGAGGTGTAACTTGAAGAAAACTAAACCCTTCTCGTCCCTCTGACAGAACTAAGGAAAAATCATATTACCATTTAGTCCTGTGCCATGACCTTATAGAGACTAATGAGGCAGAGTTAAAATGGGAAAAGTTGGCCTGTCCCACGCCCACTTCACTCAGGGCCATGGAGAGAGGACTATGTTCAGAGAATGTCCTGAAGCACAGCCCAGGTGGCATGTGGTTGAAAAGTGCCAGGGACAAGAATAAGCATGTGACACCCAGGAACAGCTTATAATTGGAAACACAGGCAGAATGTGGGATCAGAACTTCTATTTTTCTTCTTTATGCTATGAAGCAGATAGACCCTTGTACAGGAGAGAAAAAAGCATTACTATTTGCACTATTCGCAGTCTAGACAGTGGATTTGATAGCCTGGTAGAATTAAACATTAAACACTTTTTCTTCTTATGGTCTTACTTTTTTTGCAAATTTGTAATTTTTCAAAAGTCCATTTATTAGCCAACCACTTAGGCTGTCTCCCCTGTTCCTCTCAAACTCTTCCCTCCCTGATCTCCACGTACACACACACACACGTGGGTCCCCTCCCACCTATGTTCAGTTCAGTCCCTCTTTGCGAGGGACTCTGCGACCCCATGAATTGCAGCACGCCAGGCCTCCCTGTCCATCACAAACTCCCGGAGTTTGCTCAGACTCATGCCCATCAAGTCGGTGATGCCATCCAGCCATCTCACCCTCTGTCGTCCCCTTCTCCTCCTGCCCCCAATCCCTCCCACCTATGTTAACATTATGTAATTACCACTTTCCTTGCTACAGCTGCTGGGACTGGACTGTAGATATTCTACCAGTAGACAGAGAAGCAGAAAAATCTAATGAGTTTGTAAGAGAGAGCCAAAAGAAGATGCCACAGAGGGCAACCCTGATAGGAAATGGAGAAGCTGAAAGCTTTCTAGGTCACTGCTCGAGTCCCTTTCTGAGGCCTGGCCATGTGGTCTGGTTACCATGAAGTCTGTAAGATACTCTGGGTCCTCATGATAAATGCTCCATTTCTTTGTGAAACCTAGTTCAGGCTGGTTCTGAACAACCAAGTGGTTTTGACATAGAGGGAACCAGTTAGCAATGGCACTAGTTGCCATTGGCATTAACAAAGACTTAAACAATTACAGAGTTAACAACTGTCCTGACTCACCCTTTTCCCAATCTCCCTCACTAATTACACTCTGCTAGAGGAGCATTTCAGACGTGAGTGTTGGGTTTATGGAATCAAGCAGCATGGGAAATTGCTTACTTACCTTATTCATCTCGAGGCTCTCATATTTATCAATAATGCCTCTTGACGAAAGGAAGGTGAGGCTTTTCAGAGCTTTAGCAATCACATTCCGGATTGCCTGCTTGGTCTTCAAAGCAATGACAACATCACGACCCTCATGCTCTATGAGTCCTGAAGCAAATAAAAATATCAGTAAGCAAACAATTCAATAACCACAATAGTAATGAATATTTGCATAACAGCTTATAATTTCCAAAGCATTTACTCAATATATTTTCATTCCTGTTTTGTATAGAACTTGTGAGGCCAGTAGGACTACAGTTATTTTCATCTCCATTTTATAGATGAGAAAATTGAAAAAAGGCTTCCTTCACCAGCTAACAGAAATTTACTCTTTTTCCCAAGGTATCTCCTACATATCTTCATTACAGAACTCATTACATGGTAGTATTATCATTCTTCCTTGTTTGTCTCATCCTTCGTATTATATAATTCTTGTTGGTTGGATGAATAAATGACTGAAAGTGTCCCTGGACTTGCACTGGTGGGTCTTTCTGAAATCAAATCACATATTTTTTCTTCTTCAGTGAGCATGAGAAGTCATGAGATGAACTAGGAGTCAAGGCTTAAAATGCATCTGTTTCATCCTTTTAATACTAATCTTGAGCGCAATGCCTGACATCTGGAAGGGACTCAGTCACTTCTGAACTGAAATAAGCTGAACAGTGAAATGAAGCACTGCATGGTGGAGAGCACAGGAGATCTCACATGGTGTGAGATCTAGCTCACCTCTTACCAGCCATAGGACCTCAGGGGAGTTAAACTTTCTAAGCCTCAGTTTCATTATCTATAAATGAAGATGATAATAACATTTGCTTCATGGAGTAGTTATAAAGATCAAATTAAATAATGCATATAAAGCCATTAACACAATTCCTGACATAACTAGCATTCAATAGTAGGTTGCCGTAACAATACAGAAACAGGCATTCTTTCAAATGACTGAATCAAGGACACTGTGTAATATTCCATATTGACCTAAAACATAAGACAGCAGCTCCTAGGTCCCTAACCTTTAAAAGCATGGAAATAAAAACCCGCCTAATATGTAAATGGAAACAATGGGTCCTGGATTTTCTGAGACGGTGCCAAAATATTCTGGCCTATTGTCTCCAAATTTACAATTTCATTCATTAGACCATGTTTTTTCAGTTTTGTTAAGGTAAGTGTGATCCTCATAAATCCATATGGCATCTTACAATGTGGTTATAAAAACAAAGGGACTTTGCTTTCTTTATTTTACAAAAACATCCATTTGTTAAGGGCATACCAGGTGCCAGGCTCTCTACCAGAAATTATATTCTGGCAAACACTGAGAGCCTGGCCCACAGCCCCCGTGTGAGGAAAGCAGATCCAAGAAGTTTTGTATAAAATCCTAGGGCTCCCCTGAATGTTTCAACTCAAGCAGAGTGGCAGTAGATGCTCAAAAAACTTCATCCCTCACAAACTCACTTTGTTTGAGTACCCCTGCAAACAAAGTAGGGCGAAACAAAAACAGCACTTTCTGTCAAAGGTAATGTTTTGTGTGTCTTTTTCTTACAACCTTAAGGAATATGATCTTGCCACCTTAACACAATTTTTGCACTTTTCATTCTTGCTTGTATGCACCCATAGCAAATAACAGAACTCCTCTAACTTTCAGCAATTATCTCTTGATATGCTCACACCTCCCACCAGGATCTGAATTTTATGTACACCTGGCCCATTATATGTGTTCAATAAATGCTTATTGAATAAATAAATGAATGAGTCTGTGATTGAATGAAAGCATGAACTTGTCTTCCTTTGGTTAAATTATGGGATGATAAGATGTGATTTCAGAAAATTAGATATCCCAACTACTTACCTAGTTCTTTGACAGCATCCTGTTTGTTGGTTTCCAAAATTTCATATAATTTCTATGACAAATTAAGAAAAGTATTAATTTCTAATTATACCAAGTGCATTACTGGCTTTAAAATTTGAGGGGAAAAAAGCATGGTAGAAACATCTCACTTAATTATCATTTGGGGGAGATATTTAATTCTTCTCTCTTCGTAAATTCAGCTGCTTTTCCCAGGCTCATTCTCATAGTGCAATGAATGCTGTGTAGTAGCTTATATAAGTACATAAGTATTGCACCTAATATTTCTCAGAAAAGACTAGTATGCACTTCATTGTGTGCCAAAGAGAATCCTCAGAGATAGCACCCTGTTAGAGAGTGTCCAACAGAGCAGCCAACTGGGGAGCCAGGCTACTGGGAGTGCAAAAACAAGTGGAATAATGAAAAATATGGTGTCAGGTAAGTCTTGTTTCCTACAGATAACTCCTGACCTAACTGAAGAAATAGCTCCACTCTGGGCTAAACAATCTCTGTTCAATCATACAATTGTTATTTGTCAAATTCCCACCATGGCCCAGGCATGCCCCTGAGCTTTGAGTCTTCCTGAAGTTTGATAATCAGAGCTGAAATTTAAAGAACAGAAACTGTTCTCTGCAGCACCTCATATCACATAATAAAAAACTGAATCCCCTTCACTTGACATAATTTATCTTTTGAGGCAAATACATGCAGAAATGGTCTTAAATTAAATCAATACACCTGAGGGATGTTTTTCCCAAATGACCAGAGTTTGTCTCTCACCTGATCTATTGACTTTCGGCTAGAAATCTGTCTTATTAAAAACTTGGTATCCTCTAGACTTTTGACATAGCCTTTTGTAATACTATATGTCAAGCTGAGGCGCTTTTTGATCTGCACATCTACAATATTTATCAGCAGTGGTATTATTATCTGGAACAATGGAGAGGAAAAAAAACAAAAATTTGATGAGGAAAGGCACCCTCTCAGGCAGATGTTCTCAACATGCCATCTCTAACAAGCTTGTTAGAAACACAAATACTGAAATATCCATTGCTGAAACACAAATTCTTAGGTCCCACTCCAGACCCACTGAATCAGAAATGCTGGGGACAGGCTCCCAAATTAATGCTTTAACAAGTCTTCCAGGTGTTTCTATGTACACTCAAGTTTGAGAGCCCCTCTCTAAAGAAAAGAAAGCTCAGTGAATAACTGGTTCTGTAGCTTTAAGGCAAAGTGCTTACCACTGCCTCTTCCCTTATTCTCCATACTCCCAGTTTTCAGAAGACAAGAGAGGTCACCCCAATAACCTGGACAGTAGTTACCAACAGAATAAATCTCTCTATACCTCAGTTTCTTCACTTGCAAGATAAGGAATTTAGGGTGATCTGAGATTCTCCTTAGCTCTAAATTTCTCAAATGACAAGCTGAAGCAGGAGAGTACAGTGACTAAAGGGAGTGGGATTTTAAATAAGAACCTCCCTGGGTTCAAATACCAGCTCTCTGCTACTCACAGTGCTGTGACCTTGAACAGGTTACTTAGGGACTCCAAGGACTCAGCATCCTTATCTGTTCAAAGAGGATGATAACACCTAAGTACCAGGATTCCCAAGGAGCTGCCCGTCACAAGTAACGCATCAATCACAGAGGCACAACAGAGAGCAGGGAGCATGGCGAAGGGCCAAGTAACACAAGGGGAAGACGTGATCAGGAAAACAACATCGCAGCGAAGGGATTACAAGAGCAGAGAGAGCAGAGCTTTTCTTAAACTGTTATTTTGGCTGTGAAACTTTGGGGAGAAGAGAAGATACTGAAGAGGGTTTCTTTTTATAAAGTTTTATTCCATGATGCACTGGCTGATCTAAAGTAAAGTTCTTCAATATTCTTCCAGGCTTTCCAATACAGATTTGCTATTTTTGAAAACCTCACTCGGCTGAGACTGGCTATTAGGACACCTAACTTGATAAAGCAGAGACACCTACTTCACAGTATTGTAACAATTTAACTAGATAGGTATGTAAAGTGGTCTGCACACATCCTGGAACACAGTAAGTGCCCAGTTTAAAAAAAAAAAAGCTACTCATGATTATATTTACTTAACTACACTCCACTAGGATTTGTCAGAGCACGCTGAACAGAAATAGCAAATGGTTCACACTGTAAACAGGATTGACTTCTGTAATAATACATCTTTAAATCTTTACTTCACTCAGAGAGACTTTTTGCAAAGTATTCCTTCTCAGATACTTATTTTACATTCATCTGCTTAAGATCCCAGTGTAAAAACTGATTACTTATGAAAGCCTCTACCTTCTATATTAAGACTTAGCCTCACTCTACATATCCTATAATAGTTTGTATTATAATGAGATTATACCCTATGTGGGCACGTTGCTTTAAACTCAGCTCATAAGGAAAAAATAATAAATAATCAAAATTACCCCTTAAGTAGGTTTTATGTACATAACTATTAAAGTTATTCTTATGAATATTAAAGAGTGGTAACATACTTTATTTCTATTCTATATTAAGTATATATATGGTGGTGCTTTAGTCACTAAGTTGTGTCCAACTCTTGCAACCCCATGGACTGCAGCCTGCCAGGCTCCCCTGTCCATGGGATTTTCCAGACAAGAATACTGGAGTGGGTTGCCATTTCCTTCTCCAGGGGATCTTCCCAACCCAGGAATAGAACCCAAGTCTCCTGCACTGCAGGTGGTGTCCTGCATTGCAGGCAGATTCTTTACCAACTAAGGCACCAAGAAAGCCCTAAGTATATATACACTTAATATAGAATAAAGGAAGGAAGAAAAAAAGAAAAGTCAACAAGCACAGGTCTGGGCATTCAGGCAATTCTGCCTAAGACAGCTATTAAATTTCTTGGCAAATAGGGACCAGGTGGCGGATTCTCATGTCTGCCTTTCACCGTCAGGGTTTAGAGCAATACTTTTTAATATTAAGTCTATATATCTTCAATACACACTAATAGATTTATTTGATGTAATAAGAATTGCTGTTTATTCACCAAGTCATGTCTGACTCTTTGGTGACCCCATGAACTGTAGCCTGCCAGGCTCCTCTGTCCATGGGATCTCCTAGGCAAGAATACTGGAATAGGTTGCCATTTTCTTCTCCAAGGGATCTTTCTGACCCAGGGATGGAACCTGCATCTCCTGCTTTGGCAGGCAGATTCTTTACCACTGAGCCACCATGGAAGCTCCCAAATAAGAATTAAGCAACTCAAAAATGTGGAGTGGCAAGAGAACTCATCGAAAGCTCCCAAGTTAAAAGCTTATATTAATATCATGCAACTCCACTGGAAAAAGAGAAAGGATGCTTAAGAACTGAGACTGAAAAATCTGAAGATCTACTTTCAGAATCAAAATGAGAGCCACGGAAAGAAGAAATGAAGAAATGACCATTGTTAAGGAGATTGTTGCACTCATCTCACAAGCCAGTAAAGTAATGCTCAAAATTCTCCAAGCCAGGCTTCAGCAATACGTGAATCATGAACTTCCAGAAGTTCAAGCTGGTTTAAGAAAAGGCAGAGGAACCAGAGATCAAATTGCCAACATTCGCTGGATCATCAAAAAAGCAAGAGAGTTCCAGAAAAACATCTATTTCTGCTTTATTGACTACGCCAAAGCCTTTGACTGTGGATCACAATANTGAACTGTGGTGTTGGAGAAGACTCTTGAGAGTCCCTTGGACTGCAAGGAGATCCAACCAGTCCATCCTGAAGGAGATCAGTCCTGGGTGTTCATTGGAAGGAAGGACTGATGCTGAAGCTGAAACTCCAATACTTTGGCCACCTCATGCAAAGAGTTGACTTGTTGGAAAAGACCTTGATGCTGGGAGGGATTGGGGGCAGGAGGATAAGGGGACAACAGAGGATGAGATGGCTGGATGCCATTGCCGACTTGATGGACATGAGTTTGGGTAAACTCCAGGAGTTGGTGATGGACAGGGAGGCCTGGTGTGCTGCTATTCATGGGGTTGCAAAGAGTCGAACATGACTGAGCAACTGAACTGAACTGAACTGAGGGAGATTGAAGGCCACAGTAAAACTGAACTTCATAGGCAGCAGGCTAAGGAAGTAGTATATACTCTAGAGTAAATATTTTATATCCTGTACAGTTAGGGCTTTATGAGAAAATTTTACTAAAACTTGGAGAACTTGTTTCCAGGTTATCCTTCTTCAAGTGGCGCTATCATTTTCATTTATTCATTCAATACATAATTTAGTAAGTACTTACACAGGTGGTACTAGTGGTAAAGATCCTGCCTGCCAGGGCAGGAGACAGAAGAGACAGAGGTTCAATCCCTGTGTCAGGAAGATCTTCTGGAGTAGGAGATGGCAACCCACTCTAGTGTTCTTGACTGAAGAATCCCATGGAGAGAGGAGCCTGGTGGGCTACAGTCCATGGGATCGCAAAGAATCGGACACAACTGAGCGACTAACACTTTCATTCTCATATACTAGGTATCATTCTAGGTTACATCAGTAACCAAAACAAAGACCCTTACCTCATGGAAAGTACATACAACATATAGTAAAAAGGTGGTAAGTGCTATGCAGAAAAAATTAAGCAAATGAAGAGGGATCAAGGAGATGGGGTGGACAGTTGGGAGTATGGAGGGCAGGTTGCCATCTTACATAGCATGGTCAGGGAAGGCCTTCTCCATGAGAAGGTGAGAGTTGAGCAATGACTCAAAGGAGTGAGAGAGTGAACCAAGCAGATACCTGTGGAGAGAGCGTTCCAGGAGAAAAGATAGCTCCCTCCCTCATTTCTTCTAAAACAATGAGTTTTCTTAATTCAGTTGACAAATAGTATAGAAAAAAAAATTTAATGTGAAATTTTACCTTGAGAAGAGGAAAAAATCTAATTATTCTGAAATAACCTATTATTACTGTAAACTGAATAAGAATCAAGTTGTCTGGTCTCAGTCTCACAAAGTATATACAAAATACATCAACAATTCCAATAATCACAATAAAAAATTCCAAAGTATTCCAGTGTTGATGAAAATATTTCTTTTTCAAAATTATTATCTGTTTAGAAAACATATAGAACATACATCATTTCATAGCAGTATACAAAGGTGGGGAGAGGGACTCTTAAAAATTAACAGTTAAATGCTCAACTACAAATGCATTACATTCCAAAAGCTGGGTTTTAAGTCATTCATTTGAAATTCAAAAAAATCCTTTATAAATATCTGACATCAAAGGGTATAATTTGATTTAAAATATATATAATCTATTATGAAGCTGCAACACCAAAGAAAAGCAATGAAAAATAGTGAATTAATTCACTGAAACACTATTAATTATAATTAAAATATGAAACAGTATGCTGATAAATCATCTTTGAAGCATTTATCCTAAAAAGTGGTCTTAATCTTATATCATGATAAGAAACTGCAAACTATTTTTCTTTTATTCATTTATTTATTCTTTATATCATTAAAAAGAGTATTTGAGGAAAACATCAAATGTCTAGATTTTCAATTCTCTTTTATCTGATCTTTGAGATTCTCTCCACTTTTATGATACTTCTCTTATCTGATATCCAAGACTGTGACTATTATACTGATTTCACTCAGAAAACTCAAAAAGAGTACTAAAATTCCCATAATCTTATCAACTATTACAGCAAAAGGCTTCTGGTAGGAATTATTCCAATAAAATGACAAAAATAGATTCAAGCTATCTAAGTCATTCTTTTTATAGGATACATTTCTATTTTAAATGGTACCTTTAATGCTGATTCTAACAGATATAAACATACAAAATAGTAGTTTACGAATATCAGTCCTGACACATTTAATTTTCTTGCCGTTGGCCACAGGTGCATTATCATAGGATAAATGTACATTATTCCTATAATATGTTCTGCATTTTCAAATTCTTCTGAAAATACAATGTGATATATAAATAAAAGAAATCTATTATGCCTGAAAAAAAAGAGATCAAATAAAATGTCAGGTCACTTTAAGAGTATAAAAATTAAAATCTGAAGTTTATTTGTTTAAGTAAATATTAACATTTATTTGAAGAAAGATATAAAATAATAGATAATTAAAATTTAAAACATACTTTCTATACATAGAAATCATAAGGGAAAAAGATAAAAATATAGCTCTTGGTAATCTATATCAAGGCTGGGGAGCTTTTTTTTAAGTTAATATCTTATACTTATCATCCACATAAGTAGAAAAAAGGCTTTCATTACCTCTGTAAAAACATTAAGTACTGTAAATACATATTCATTTGGGAGGGGTAGTATTTTGGGGAGGGAGTGTTTTTCCTCCAGTTTCTTAAGATGTAATTGACATACAGCACTGTATAAGTTTTAAAGTATACAATTTAATGATTTGATGTACGTACATCATGAAACGATTATCACAATAAGTTTAGTGAACATCCTTCATGTCATATGGATATAAAATTAAAGAAACAGAACATTTTTTCCTTTGAGAGGAGAACTTTTAGGATTTACTCCTTTAACAACTTTCATATATAACATACAGAAGTGTTCATTATATTTATCATGTTGCATATGACGTTCCTAGTACTTATTTATCTTATAAAAGAAAATTGTACTTTTTGACAGTCTTCATCCAATTCCCTCTCCTACCCCGCACCTCTGGTAAGCATAAATTTGATCTTTTTTGCTAAGAGTTTGCTTTATTTTTAAAATATAATTGACCTACAACACATTAGTTCCTATTACATGACACACTGATTCAGTATTTTTAGACATCTCAAAATAATAACTCCAATAAGTCTAGCTATGATATGCTACCATACAAAGATATTACATTGTTACTGACTATATTCCCCACACTGTACACTTCATGTTTGCTACTAAATTATTTTGCCACTGGAGTTTTGTACTCTTTCACTTCCCTCACTGTTTATTTCTTCCCTCAACCACTCCCTTCTGGACACTCTATTCATTCTCTTTATCTAAGATTATTTCTCTTTCACTAAGTTGATTCATTTGTTTTGTTTTTTTAAATCCACATATAACTGAAAAATCACACAGTATTTCTCTGTCTGACTTCACTTAGTATAATACCATCTAGGTGCATCCATTTGGCAAGATTTCATTCTTTTTTAGGGCTGAGGAATATTTCATTATACATACATATGAATATACATTTGTTGTTGTTGTTCAGTCACTAAGTTGTGTTCAACTCTTTGCAACCCCATGGACTGCAGCAAGCCAGGCTTCCCTGTCCTTCACTGTCTCTCTGAGTCTACTCAAATTCATGTTCATTGAGTCAGTGATGCTATCTAATCAACTCATCCTCTGCCACCCCCTTCCCCTTTTGCTTTCCATCTTTCCCAGCAACAGGGTCTTTTCCAGTGAGTCAGCTTTTCACATCAGGTAGCCGAAGTACTAGAGTTTCAGCCTCAGCATCAGTCCTTCCAATGAGTATTCAGGGTTGATTTCCCTTAGGATTGACTGGTTTGATCTCCTTGCAGTACAAGGGACTCTCAAGAGTCTTCTCCAGCACTACAGTTGGAAAGCATCAATTCCTTGGCCCTCAGTCTTCTTTATGGTCCAACTTTCACATGGGTACATGACTACTGGAAAAATCATGGCTTTGACTGTATGGACTTTTGTCAGCAAAGTGATGTCTCTGTTTTTTAATATGCTGTCTAGGTTTGTCATAGCTTTCCTTCCAAGGAGCAAACATCTTTTAATTTCATGGCTGCAGCCACCATCCACAGTGATTTTGGAGCCCAAGATATAGACTGTCACTGTTTCCACTTTCCCCGGCTTTTATTTGCCATGAAGTGATGGGACTGGATGCCATGCCATGAAGTGATGGGACTGGATGCCATATATATCCATATATATATATATATATATATCCATTCATCTTCTTTATCCATTCCTATCAATGGGCATTTAGGTTGTCTCCATATCTTGGCTATGATAAATAATGCTACAATGAACATAAGGTGCACATATCTTTTCTAATTAGTGATCTCATTTTCTACAGATAAATACTCAGGAGTGGAAATGGTAGTTCTATTTCTAATTTATTGAAGAATCTCCATACTATCTTCCACAGTGGCTATATCAATTTACATTCCAATCAACAGTGCATGAGTGTTCCCTTTTTGCCGTATCCTCCCCACACTTGTTATTTATCTTTTTGATAATAGCCATTCTGACAAGTGTGAGATGATATCTCATTGTGGTTTTGATTTACATTTCCCTGATGTTTGATGATGCTGAGCATCTTTTCATGTGCCCACAGGTCATCTGTATGTCTTCTTTGGAAAAATGTCTATTCATATCCTACGCCCTTGTTAAATCAGGTTATTTGGTTGTTTTTTTTTTTTAATGTTCTTTGTATGTGTGCTTTGTGCTAAGTTGCTTCAGTTGTGTCCACCTCTTTGCAACCCTATGGACTGTAGCCCACCAGGCTCCTCTGTCCATGGGATTCTTCAGGCCAGAACACTGGAGTGGGTTGCCATGCCCTTCTCCAGAGATCTTCCAGATGCAGGAATTGAACCCACATCTCTTACATCTCCTGCATTGGCAGGTGGATTCTTTACCACTAGCACCACGTGGGAAAACTGTTCTTTGTATAATTTGGCTATTAACCCCTTATAGAATATATTGTTTGCAAATATCTTTTCCCATTCAGTAGATGTTTTTTTTTTAATTTTGTTGATAGCTTCTTTAACTGTGCAGAAATTTTTTAGTTTGATGTAGTCCCATTTGTTTATTTTTGCATTTGTTTTTCTTGCCTGAGGCCACATACACACAAAAAAATTAGACAAATGTCAATGGGTTTACTGCCTGTGTTTTCTCCTAGAAGTTTTACAGTGTCAGGTATTATATTTAAATCTTTAACCCATTTTGAAGTTATTTTTGTACATGGTGTAAAAGAGTAGTCCAGATTGATTTTTTTGGTTATAGCTGTACAGTTTCCCCAACAGCATTTATTTAAAAACTGTCTTTCATTATTGCATATTCTTGCCTTATTGTCATTGATTAATTGACCATATAAGTGTTCATTCATTTCTGGGCTCTCTATTCTGTTCTGCTGACCCATGTGTCAGTTTTTATGCCAGCACCATTCCGTTTTGATTACTGTAGCTTTATAGTATAGTCTGAAGTCAGAAAGAATGATACCTTCAGCTTTGTTTTTTCTCAATATTGTTTTGGCTATTCAGGGTCTTTTGTGTTTCCATACAAATTTTAGAATTATTTGTTCTAGTTCTGGGAAAAATGTATTTTATAGGGATTGCACTCAATCCATAGATTGCTTTGAGGAGTATGGTCATTTTAACAAAATTAATTCTTCCAATTGATAAACATGGTGCATCCTTCCATTTGTTTGTGTTGTCTTCAATTTCTTCATCAGTGTCTTATAATTTTCAAGTACAGGTCTTTTACCTCCTTAATTAGATGTATGCCTAGGTATTTTATTCTTTTTTGACATAATTGCAAATGGGATTATTTTATTAATTTCTCTTTTTGACAGTTCATTGTTAGTATATAGAAGTGAAACAGATTTTTTTAAATTATTTTGTATCCTGCAACTCTACCAAGTTCAGTGATGAATTTCAGTAGTTTTTTGGTGGCATCTTTAGGATTTTTTATGTATAGCATCACATTATCTGCAAACAGTGACAGTCTTTGTTCTCCCTTTCCAATTTGGATTCTTTTTATTTATTTTCTTATCTGATTACTGTAGCTAGGACTTCCAATATTGTGTTGAATAAAAGTAGCAAGAGTGGACTTTTGTGTGTTCCTGATCTTAGAAAAATGCTTTTCACTGTTGAGTTTGATGTTAACTGTGGGACTGTCACATATGACTTTTATGATGTTGAAGTGTGTTCCCTCTATACCCATTTTGCTGAGAGTTAAATTTTGTCAAAATTTTTTCCATAGCTATTGAAATTATCATATAATTTTTATTCTTCAATTTGTTAATGTGGTGTATCACACCAATGAGTTTGCAAACATGAACCATCTTTGCATCCTTGGGATAAATCCTAGGTTGATCATAGTGTATGATCCTTTTAATGTTATTTTAACTTGGTTTGCTAATATTTTGTCAAGGATTTTTGCATGTATGTTCATCAGGGATACTGGCCTATAATTTCCTCTTTCATGTGATATCTTTGTCTGGTTTTGGTATCACGGTGATGTTGGTCTTCTAGAGGTGTTCCTTCTTCTGCCATCTTTTGGAATAGTTTGATAGGAATATGTGTTAACTCTTCTCTAAATGTTTATCTGTGAAGTCATGTGGTCCTGGACTTTTGTTTGTTGGGAGTTTAATTACCGATTCAATTTCAGTACTAGTAATTGGTCTATTCATATTTTATACTTCTTCCTGATTCAGTCTTAGGAGATTGTACCTTTCTAAGAAATTGTCTATTTCTTCTACATTGTCCATTCTATTGGCATATAACTGTAGTGATTACTTATGATCCTTTGTATTGCTTTTATTTCAGTTGTAACTTCTTTTTCATTTCTGACTTTATTGATCTGGTCCCTCTTTTTCTTGATGAGTTGGGCTGAAGGTTTGTCAGTTTTGTTTGTCTTTTCAAAGAACCAGTTCTTAAGTTTCATTTATCTTTGCCATTGCTTTTTAGTATCTTTTTCAGTTATCTCTGCTCTGATATTTATGATTTCTTCCTTCCTATTATGTTTGAGTTTTGTCTGTTCTTCTTTTTCTAGCTCCTTTAGGTATAGGGTAGGATTATTTAAGATTTGTCTGAAGAGCATTTTTTAAAAATCAAGACTAATAATAGTACACAGGAATAATGCAAAGATTCATACATCAAAAGCAAGAAACAAATTTAGAGAAAAACATCAGTATTGCTTAAAATTAGGAACAGGACAAAATATTTTACTTAATAATTACTATGGCATATTTCTAAAATTCTTTCTATTCATCCAAAGTAGAAAATGACAAAAAGATGTTACGTAGATATGTCAAAACCCTAGGGTTTTAATTTTTTATATTTTTTCTATAAACTTAATAAATCAAAGACTAAAAAAAAAATAACCATAATTTACTATGAAAAGTATGTTAAGACCCATTTAAAATTTATTAACATTAATGGTCCCAGTGTCTTCTCATCTGACATGTTTTGTTAGTAGAAAAATATTGTCTTTCTGGCCTAAAAAGTGTGTAAGTTCACAATTTATATAACCAAAGAGTCTACACGAGTTAAGTAAAATACATCTTATGATATTTTGGACATTGACTGTGGGTGTTTATTAAGGCCATGCTGTGTTTTTACTAACTATAGACATCAACAGAACCATCCCATGCCACAGTTGAAATTAATTTCATGCCCATGAAATTAAGTTGAGAGTTAAATCTAGTCTTTGAGTTTGCTATTTCTCACCCATAAGCACCCCAGAAGAATATGAAAGAAGTCCAACATGTAATGTGACACTAAGACAAGACTATTATGACTTGAAGAACCCAAATATAACAATCTTTTTCTTCTTTTTTCTACCCACATTCTACTAGAGGTGTCAATGAAATTGCTAAAACAGAATGGAAAAAGAGAAGTAAGCACTCTGCTGCTTTATTACTCAATCAATAAGAGTTGACTATAATATTAGTTGAGGTTTTTCTTTTAGGAAAAATCAAGGTAGCCTATTTTAACAATGTAGAAAAGGTCAAATTTTCAAGTACATTGCTATTAAAGGTTCACAGTACTTACCCATATAGAATAGCAGATGTCTTATCTTTATGATATTCCAAGAAAGTTAATGTGTGTTTAAACTTCACAAGCCAACTTCTAGCTCTTACATAAGTTGAAACATCATAAATACTCATGAATCTAACAGAGAAAAATATATATACATGATGAAAACCAAGTGCTATACCTTTGGGTAATATAAGATGAAAAGTTATACTAAATATAAATATAGTATACATTTATTAAATATGCCTCTGTATCCACCCACCTAACCACCCATGGTCATGGAACAGAAACAATTTTAGCATGAGACCCCTAAAGTCCATGTCCCTGAAACTTTTCTGACCTGAGGTAGAATATAATTAAAACTTTTCCAACCGATTTCTTTGAGGTTCAAAATCAAGCTTCCTTTTGTCATGCCTTTCCTAGCCCAAGATTCTCCTTGGCCCTGAACTCCCTATCCTTCCCAAACTTTATTTAGGAACTGATGCTACATCTCCCAAATATATTACCAGGCTGATGAAATGTTAACTATCACCCAGAAAGAATCTCCTAAAGTTGCTCTATAACTTTGTCTTCAAACATTCATTATCTAATGTTCACCAGAAATGTAACCGGATATCAATATATCTCTAAGATACTGAGCTTTTCCCAACATATTTAATTGCATCTATCAGTTCCATGCACACACACATGCTCAGTCGGGTCTGATTCTTTGTGACTCTATGGACTGTAGCCTGCCAGGCCCCTCTGTCCATGGAATTCTCCAGGCATGAATATTGGAGTAGGTTGCCATTTCCTACACCAAAGGATCTTCCCAACTCAGGAATTGAATCTGCATCTCTCACATCTCCTGCATTGACAGGCAGATTTTTTACCACTGAGCCACCTAGGAAGTCCCTATCAATTTCATAGGCTGGATTAATTCCTCCAAATCCTGCTCCACACCAGGGAGCAATTTAATAGTAGGCTCCAGGCCTTCTTACCTCCCCTATGCAGTAATTTAGTGAATACAATATAAAGACAAAAGAATTATAATCATAATTAAAACTACGTGGGTTCTTTTTAATAGCTCCCCTTTCCTCTCATATAATTGCTCTGCAGTTAAATCTTCCTCCAGAAACTCCCAATGTCATCAAACTCATGAATCTTCAGGGAGAAAAGTATAAACAAGTAAACTAGGAAGTAGATGGATAGATGGATGGACAGACAGAGAGATAAGATTTAAAAAAATTGATCAATCTAAAGCAACTATCCTTCAGTTAAAAAACAAATTTAAAAAAAGATTGATCAATCTGGACACTCAGCTGTCTTCATTCTTTATCACATACCCATTCAATTTTGGAAATATCAATTAAAGAAATATTATACTTACTTTCCTTGAATGTGGCAATAGCTTTTGGTTGCACCAATTAACGTCCGGGCTGCTTCGACACTGAGGACTCCATCATTACACTGCTTTTCAAAGCTACTCTAAACATAAAATTTTAAATAAAAATTACAAAGGACAAAAACATTAGTGAAATGTACTCTACTTGATCTTTACCTAGCCCTCCTTATTATTATTGAACTCAGTATATGAAAATATACTTTTCAAAAACTATAGCAAGAAATAAATTTCATTCAATTTGAATATTTATAGAATATTCAATTTTTGCAAAGTACTCCCTTGGATGTTATAAAAGACACAAAGATTTCTGGCTTCAGGAACCCCAAAATTTATACAGCTCAAAGAGTTTACTTCAGATGTTCAACATCACTAATTATTAGAGAAAAGGCAAATCCAAACCACAGGGAGGTATCACCTCATATGGGTCAGAATGACTGTCATCAAAAAGGCTGCAAATTAAGTGCTGGAGAAAGTGTGTGGAGAAAACAGAACCCTTGTACATTGTTGGTATGAAATGTAAATTGGTGCATCCACTATGAAGAACAATATGCAAGTTCCTTAAAAAATAAAAAATAGAGCTACCATATGATCTAGTAATCGTACTTCTGGGTATATAGCCCAAAAACCCCAAAACTCTATTTCAAAAAGATACATGTACACCAACATTCACAACAGCACTATTTACAATCACCAAGACACAGAAACAACCCAAGTGCCCACTAACACAGTCGGCTTAAGAAGATATGACTATATTATATATATATATGTAAATATATCATGGAACATACATATATCATTAAATATGTATATAATAGAGTATATATATAATGAAATATTACTCAACCATATAAAATAACGAAATATGCCATTTGCAGCAACTTGGGTCATCCTAGAGATTATCACGGAGAAGGCAATGGCAACCCACTCCAGTACTCTTGCCTAGAAAATACCATGGACGGAGGAGCCTGGTGGGCTGCAGTCCATGGGGTCACTAGGAGTTGGACATGACTGAACGACTTCACTTTCACTTTTCACTTTCACGCATTGGAGAAGGAAATGGCAACCCACTCCAGGGTTCTTGCCTGGAGAATCCCAGGGATTGGGGAGCCTGGTGGGCTACCGTCTATGGGGTCGCACAGAGTCAGACACGACTGAAGTGACTTAGCAACAGCAGCAGCAGAGATTATCAACATAAGTGAAGCAAGTCAGACAAATATTATATCACTTATATGTGGAATCTAAAATATAATATAAATTAATCTATATACAAAATGGAAACAGACTCACAGACATAGAAAACAAGCTTATAGTTACCCAAAAGGAAAGGGAGGAGGACAAATTAGGAATATTATACTCACAGATATAAACTACAATACATAAAATAGATAAGCAACAAGGATTTACTGTATAGCAAAGGAAATTATATTCAACATCTTGTGATAACCTATAAAGAAATATAATCTGAAAAAACTGAATCACTATGCTATATGCTTAAAACTAACACAACATTGTAAATCAAATATATTTCAATTTCTTTAAAAAAATAACATGGAGTGGATCACTACACAGGATTATTGCTTTAAAAAGTAAATGTGGTAGGGCAGTATAACAATGGTCCCAATGAAACATAGCTGCCCATGTTTCTTTGTAACTAACATTGCTGCTCTTCCCTTCAAAGGTAGGCTCTTCTTTACTCATTGAATCTGGGCTAGCTTTGGGATTTACTTTGACTAACTGAGTGGGAGTAAAAATGATGTTATTCCACTTCCAGAGCCTAGGAGATAGAGGCCTTGCAGCTCCTCTTCTCACCCTGTTGGAACCCAGAGATCACCATGTAGTGAAGAAGCCCAGTTCACTCTACTGGAAGGTAGGAGGCCATGTGAAGGAGATCCAAAGCGCCCTGAAATATAGTCAACTGCCAAATCTGTGAGTAAGCACATGTTGGACCCTCCAACACCAATTGAACTAAGATGGTAGCCGACACATGAGTGGTCCCAAGCAAGACCAGCAACAAAATCATCCAGATTGCCAACCCACAGAACTGTGAGAAATATCAAATCATTGTTTTCAGCCACTAAAATCTGTAGTATAGCAAAGGCTAACCAAAACAGAAATCAGTACCAATTGTGGAGAGTCTCCATATCAAAAAGCTAAACCTAAATGTGTTGTTAGTTTTGGAACTAAGTGGTGAGCAGAGGCTAGAAAGTCAATGAGGAGACTGGAAGTTGGAAAAGCAGTGAGAAAACTGATGCAGAAGGCTGGAGGGAGGCAAGTTGTGCTATGACAAGCCAGCACAACTGGCAATACTGTCACCTAAGGCAACTTGGAAAGCAGAAGATGTGCCTAATGAATTTATGAATCTGGCTAAAGAGATTTCTGGATTTCAAATATTCTAGAAATACTCGTGTCAACTTTTGAGGGGAATGTAATTGCTTTATAATGTTGTGTTAGTTTCTGCTGTAGAACAACATGAACAGCCATAAGGATAAACACATCCTCTCTTAAACCTCCCTCTCACCTCCGCCTGCTATCTCACCTGTCTAAGTTGTCATGGAGCACCAAGATGAACTCCCATGCTATGCAGCTGATTCCCACTAACTATTTTATACATGGTAGTGTATATATGTCAACCGATTCTCCCAATTTGTCCCACCCTCCCTTTCCCCTCCTGTGTCTACATCTGTTTCTCTACATCTGCATCTCTATTCTCGCTTTGGAAATGGTTCATCTGTACCTTTTTTCTAGATTCCACATGTATATGTTAATATACAAGATTTTTTTTTTTTTACAAGATTTGTTTTTATCTCTAGCTGCATGTGATACTGTATGAGGAGAGCGAGGTAAACGAAAGGGTAACAGTTCAATCTGTAAGCAGATATTACAGAAAATATAAAGACGCCATGATTGGTTTGAAAACCAAACCCATTTTCCATCTGCAGTCTCTCCAGGTGGTAAAATGAAAATCAAATCTAGAGTTCTGCCAGTAAACTATGACCTCAGCTTCAAGATCAAGTCAAGGTTGTGGCTCAAGACCCTTGGATAAGACCACTTAGAGGTTAAAGGCAGTGCTTAGTCTACCCTCTTAAGCAGACTAAAGGCTTTCTCAGACCCATATTGTCTGGCATGTGGCCTGTACGAAACGGAATTACAGAGTAGAATAGACTACAATCAGACTCATTGAAAACACAGTGTTTTTAAGGAAATGGTATCAGGGTGGGCTTAAAAGATAATTAAGAGTTCTAAATGAATAGGAATTTCCATTTCTACTGGCAGAAATCAGTCTGAGAAGATCACTCAGTCACAAACATGAATTACATGCATGCATACTAAGTCACTTCAGTCGTGTCCAACTCTTTGCGACCCTACGGACAGTGCCTGCCAGGTTCCTCTCTGTCCATGGGATTCTCCAGGCAAGTTGGAGTGGGTTACCATTCCCTTTCCCAGGGTATCTTCCCAACACAGAGATCAAACCCTCATCTCTTATATCTCCTGCATTGGGAGGCGGGTTCTTTACCACTAGTGCCACATGGGAAGCCCAAACATGGGTTACCTCCTATGATAACAGAATGAGGAGAACTAGGTCATATGCCCAGCTGGATTTCAGAACTGCCAAGGACCAGTGATTAATCAATGCTTCCTCTCCTCTTCCTTCTTGAACAGAAGTGTCTGTTGATTACCACTGAAAGTTGGGATTGGGGATGGTGGTGGAGGTGGAGGCTGAGGAGACAGGTAACTTCTCTTTTTAGTCCACTGTTCTGTGTATCAAGAGGAATCATACTTAAAGAGATCCAACCAAGGAGCCTGAGCAATCCTAGACCAAATGAACACCATGAGGTAGCAGACTTTGGATCTGCTACCATAATGGGATAAAGCTTACCTAGGGCTGGTGGGGGGGATACCGAGTCTTAGAAAAAGATGAGGGTGTTTTGCTTTGCACTTCGTCTGAAAGTTAAGTGAAGTGAAGTTGCTCAGTCATGTCCGACTCTTAGCGACCCCATGGACTCTAGCCCACCAGGCTCCTTTGTCCATGGGATTCTCCAGGCAAGAATACTGGAGTGGGTCGCCATTTCCTTCCCCAGGGGATCTTCCCGACCCAGGGATCGAACCTATGTCTCCTGTTTGGCAGGCAGTTTCTTTACCACCGAGCCATCAGGGAAGCCCTTTGCTTTGTAGGACGGGTATAAATATATGTGGCCAGTGAGCAGAACATGGTACATTATATATGGTCACAAATTCTTTGCATCTCTTACCATCAAGAGTTTGAGTCTACTGTCCCAAGCCTTAAATTAAAGTGGCTTCATTTGCAAAGTCTGGTAGTAGGGTACTGACTCTCAGCTGTATGCCTCAGGTTACTTCTGTATGGCCTCTCATTCTTCACAGGCTAGGCCAGCTTCCTCACATGACAATCTCAGGGTGGTATTCAAAGTGGAAGAAGGGGGAAGTTGCAAATCTCCTTAAGGCTCCAGTACATTCCCAAAGTCATTTGGCTACATATTCCTGGTCAAAACAAGTCACAAGAGCAACCCAAGTTCAATGATGGTGAGGGATATAGACACTACCTCTCAAAAGGAGATTGGTTTTGCAAAGAATTCATGACCATACTTTATATCTCTGGATAAGAACCTTCCAAAATCTGAGAACATTTTAAATTAACTATAGAAATGCTTTTAAAATAATATAATGTTAGTGTTTCTGTATTAAGAAGAAATATGTTCTTCAATAGAAAAAAAAAGAGGAATTTATAGGTTAAAAGAGACCTAGAGTACATATTCTGGGCTTCCCTGATGGTTCAGCAGTAAAGAATCCACCTGCAAGTCAAGAGCCACAGGAGATGCGGGTTTGATCCCAGGGTTAGGAAGATCCCCAGCAAGAGGGCGTGACAACCCACTTTGGTATTCTTGCCTTGAAAATCCCATGGACAGAGAAGCCTGGCGGGCTGCAGTCCATAGGGTCGCAAAGAGTCATACTCAACTGAAGCAATAGCACGCACGCAAGCAAAGTACCTACTCATTAATTGCAATATATGATTTCATTGAAATGCAATTTAAAGATGTAAACTGGAACTATGCACTGATCAAATTTATGAGATAATTGAAAATCTGATCATTGACCAATATTTGATGTTATTAAGAAATTAATCTTTAGGCACAATATTAGTATTTTACTGTTTTTTAAGACTTTAAAATTTCAAGATACATACTGAAATATTTGCAGATGAAATTATATATTCAATAACATCTGGGATTTGTTTCAAAATAACCAGGGAGATGCAGGAGTGACTGAGGGTACAGATGGGGCAGGGCTGGTCATGTGTGGATTTTCGTGAAGGCTGAGTGATAGGTACATGGAGGTTCAGTACGCTATTTTACCTACTTTTGTATGCGTTAGAAATTCTTCATAATAGGTTCTAAAATGAAAATAAAACAGATGTACAGAACAGACTTTTGGACTCTGTGGGAGAAGGCGAGGGTGGGATGTTCTGAGAGAATAGCATTGAAACAAGTATACTATCAAGGGTGAAACAGATCACGAGCCCAGGTTGGATGCATGAGATAAGTGCTCAGGTCTGGTGCACTGGGAAGACCCAGACGGATGGGATGGGGAGGGAGGCGGGAGGGGAGATCGGGATGGGGAACACATGTAAATCCATGGCTGATTCATGTCAATGTGTGGCAAAACCCACTACATATTGTAAAGTAATTAGCCTCCAACTAATAAAAATAAATGAAAATAAAAAGGAAGGATTCTGGGCATAATGAGCATTTTATATACTTGTAAATTTGAATAAAATTTGTACTATTAGAATAAAACCCCAATTTTAAATGTACAATTTGATAAGTTGATTCAAACTTGATTTTATCTCATAATCTGTGTTTACATTATAACATTCAAATATTAAATCTTAAATATTTTAAGAGAATGTTTGATTCATTATATTTATTCTAGCTTATTAGATTTACAAGAGTTAAATAAGCACTTGAGAACATTTTATATAAAAGGAACTCACATACTTAAATCTGTGAAAGCAGTTTCAAATATTTGAAGATGTTTAATTATGTAAATGGCACAAAATATTATTCAAAGGTTCTCTAACAGTGAACTGCTAAAATTTGCTAGACTTAGAAATAGAATAAGGTTTGTAACTTGAATTTAAAGCCCTAGAAATTTATTTTTCTAACTTTCATAAATCAACAACCAATCAAAAGGTGAACATTTTTCTAGTCACCTGAAAACCATATGTAAGAATTAAAAACATTGCAAGAATAAAATACATAAATAAAAAGCAGATTATGTGAAGGATACTCACTATTTGTATTATAACTACATGCAATCGGGCTTCTTCTAGTAAAACTTCATCTGTTGGGAGCTCCTCCTTCGCCTTATTGTCACTTGAAACGTTAGGAGTCTGAACAGACAGAGACAGAGTTAAAAATAAGTAAAAAGGATTAGGAGCTGTCAAATACCCTGCTTGACCAAGATTCCAATAACTCAAATCAGAATTGCTAAAATGAAGGGCTGTGTGTAAGTGAAAAACACTCTCCATGTTAGAAATGTTGCTTTCAATTGTGGTGAAGTAACTATTAATTTGGGGAGGTTTAGAAGCCAAATTCTTCCCCAAACCGGTCTATGCTTTGCTCTCTGAAGCTGCCTGTGTTTTCTGCGTTTGAATAGTACTTGTACAGGGAGAGATCACTCACTTCCTCAACCAGCTGGAAAATATCACCCTGGCAGAGGCCATTCATAGTTACTCAATCAGCCTATTTGTAAAAACTTCTTGTATTTGGCAAATAAGGCTAGGTCACCAACATCTGTTCAGAGACAGAATTCAGAGTATTTTGGCTGATAGAAAAAAGCTAGTAAATGTATCTCTCTTCAGTATCCTGACCTGTAACCAGCAGAATCAAGTTTTGCATAATAAACAAAAGAAATAGAGAGAAAGGGAAAGGAATAGTTTTTGCCAGGAATCAACTCACAGGAATGATGTATTCAATCTTTGTTTTTTCTTCTACTAAGGTCCAATTAACATTTGTCAAAAGTTTTTCTGTTTTAAATAAAGTTATTCTGCTCTGTATCATCTCCTGGATGTGCTTAATGGCATTTTGCATGGCCATCTGTCTTGGAATGGAAAGGGTACACAAATCTATGACAAAGAAAAGGAAGGACCTTAATAAAATAGTGAAGAATGCACAAGGAATTGAAATGTTGCATGATGTAGTGAAATCTTGGCATCACCTGCAGAGCCAAACCAGAGTGCTTAGAGCAAGGACAACTATTTGTCCAAAATTTTCCAGAAATTACCCAACTACCCATTTCCTTTTGGCTGTGCAGCTCAACTTTATCTGACTCAACTGCTAAAGAATGTTTTCTTAGTTTCTTTTTGTTTCCTATAGCTAGAAACATGACTCACTATTTCAAGTCATCTAGTCAGTATTTCTCAAAGTATGGAAAATTACCTCTACCTTCTACAGGTAGAAGAATTGCCTGTTGAATTATTCCTGGGCTTTACCCTATGTCTGGAGAATCTGATTGGTCTGAGAACTTTCATTTTAGCAACTTCTTCAACTGATTCTTATACATAATAAAATTTAAAGACCACTGCAATAGAGATGCCTCCCATTTAACATCTCTGTTTCCTGACCAGCAAATCTTTATATCCAAAATTTGTGGCAGTTTGTATAATTCTGAAGTATCAACTTGAAGTTACAGCTATCAAGCTTGCTTACCAAAAGGAGAAATTTAATTACTGAGTGAGCTCAGCCTACACACTCAGAATTCCATCTCAATAAAACTGTTCTCAATAAAAAACAAGATTCTACTGTATAGCATAGGGAACTACATTCAACATCCTATGTAAAACATAATGGAAAAGACTATAAAAATGAATGTACTCGTATGTATAAATGAATCACTCTGCTGTACAGCAGAAACTTAGCAAAACATTGTAAATCAACTATACATCAATTAAATGTTAATCTCTTCATAACTGCATATGAGATGTCTCAAATAGTTTAAAATGTTATTAAAATGTTTCAGTTTAACTTTATTGCATTCTCTACAGGATGCTGTGGTGTTTGATATTTGAAATTTTCAGAGATTCAAAAAGATTTGAAATCACATCCCTCTCAGTTCTCTATGGTCCAGAGCAAAGATGCATTTGACTGCATGCTAAAGAGTTAGAATGTGTCAGCTTTGGATTTAAAATTTCCATGGCATAGAGCACACGAGGAGAAAGTTTATTGATTTGCATAATTACATCCCACCCATTAGGATGAGCAACAGCCATTTTCCAGTTGCTCTGGGAAAACACGGGTATAAGGGGACTGATTGGTTGTACCAGTACATTTGAATGAACTCCTGTGTTTAAGATGATTCTGGAAGAATATGAGGATGAGTCTTTTCCTCCCTCTTCTTTTTTTTTAATTTTATTGAAGTATAGTTGATTTACAATGTTGTGCTTAATTTCTGCTGAACAGCAAAGTGATAGTGTTATATACATACATGAGTGAGTGAAAGTTGCTCAGTCGTGTCCAACTCTTTGCAATCCTATGGACTATACAGTCCAGTGGAATTCTCCAGGCCAGAATACTGGGAGTGGGTAGCCTTTCCCTTCTCCAGGGGATCTTCCCCAACCCAGGGATCAAACCCAGGTCTCCCGCATTGCAGGTGGATTCTTTATCAGCTGAGCCACAAGGGAAGCCTTGCCCTAATATACACACACGTATATATGTGTATATATATGTATATATACACACACATATATTCTGCATATTCTTTTCCATTATGATTTATCACAGGATATTGAATATAGTTCCCTGTGTTACAGAGTAGGACTTTGTTGTTTATCCATCCCATATGTAAAGGTTTGTGTCTGCTGATCCCAAACTCCCAGTCCTTCCCTCCCTTCCCTGTTGGCAACCACAAGTCTGTTCTCTATATCTGTAAGCCTGTTTTTGTTTCATAAATGTGTTCATGTGTGTCTTATTTTTATTAGATTCCACATATAAGTGATATCATATAGTATTTGCTTTTCTCTTTATGACTTACTTCACTTAGTATGACAAGCTCTAGATTCAGAGGATGGATCTCTCAAAAGCATTAGACCAGGTGGATGAAGCTAATTTGAAATTCTTCTTGATAAAATTCAGTTTTGTCAATTACATGCTAACATGTGAGTAATTCTAGAAAGGATGAGCATCGATTCTGAGCATAAAGTACATGCCATACATATTTGTTTCATAATGAAAATTCTGAGGTTCAGTTAATACAATAAAAAAAATTGTATGGGAAGAAAAGGAGAAGAAAAAAATATTTCCATGATAGTAAAACCTCTTGATCTTGTTTCTGAGTATCAGAGTAAGAGCAATCTCAAGCAAACAACCATGGGAGAAAACCAGATGCTATGTCATAAGCCAAGAGAGCAGAATGGGTCTGGATCCCTGAAAGCCTATAAAAATTGGTGGGAAGGGAGGTGTAAGCAAACCTTCAGGGATCGGGTTAACTTCATTCACACTCAAGCGTAGCAAGCTTGTGCTGGCCCAAGCACAACTTTCCACTGCAAACAAGAGCAAACCCCATGACTAGGGGAGAAGGAGCGCTGCCAAAACTCTGCCCCATTTACTAGTCCTATTCGTATCCCGGAGCCCTGGACTTTGAGGTCAGCTTTCACAAGAAGCTCTGCCATAGCGTTGATGTGGCACAGTTTCAGGAGTGGGCAGAACTATGGGAAGACACAAGCAGAGAAGCTGGATTCACCAGGCTATTTCTCTGTTTATAACAACTCTCCTTCCTCAGTAACCTTCCATCAACCTCTCCCAAGTTCCACACCTTCCAAGAAACCTTCTGATTACTAATTTGATTTATTAAGGAAATTGGTATTTAGAGGTGAATACCCTGAATAATGATCACAATTATTTCAGACATAAAAAGAAATCATCCTTCTTATAAATTAATAAATTGATTTTCTGCTGCATCTCTTATTCTCCTGGGAGTGCAACAGATGTAAATTTCCAGCCATCTGATTAATTCTAGACACTGACAAAATCAGGCCTCTGCACCAGCAAACCTGAGGATCAGGCCATGGGACACTGGACGATACTAAGGCCCTACTCCTCCAAGACTCTGTGTAACTCCGCCCCACCCTCTCTCTCCTCATGGACTGCACTGCCACTGATTATCTTATCCTGATTTCTCTATTGATCATGGGCTTTTTTGTGATTTTATTATATTTATATACTTTATTATCAACAGCTTCACATTTTTTCTAGAAATAGGCAACTCTGGCAGAGCCTGCTTACTGCTCCCCTTCATTCTCCTCTTCTTTTCCCAATAGAATCTCTATGCTTTGGCTAAGCACATGACCAGTCAGTTAAGACAGTAGTTCCCATCTTCCTTTGCCCTTGTGTGCCCATGAGACTAAGTTCTGGCCAATGGACTGTGAGTGGTAATGATATGTACAACTTCAGGAAGCAGAAGGAAGCTTCTTTCAATAAGCTCCTTACTCTCCATTGACACCATCACCACCACCATCACTCCCAGCCCATTTTCCCTTTCTAGTTGATTGGATTGAAGATAACAGTGACTGTGAGCCCACTTCTGCCCTGCAGACAAGAGCAACACTCTGGGAAGCAGAGGAGGAATGAAAGAAGGATTTGAAATATCTGGACAACCTCGTAGGACAGAACCATCCCACTCTTCTTGATTTTCTGATGGGGGGTGGTGGGAAACAACTTCTGTCTTGTTTAAGGCACTCTTAATGTGGTTTCTATTAACAGGGAGTGAATGAAAACTGAGTTATTTCATGATCAATTCCTTGAGCTCCAGAAGAAATGTCATACCTCCAGCAACAATCTATTCGCATTATTTTTCCTGGTTAAGTAGACTTTACCTAATGTCCTGGCCAAACGAGTCATCATGTATGAATTTATTCCCAAGGTCATTAAGGATATTACTTGTATGTACAATATAAACTGAAAGACAAAACATACACACATTAATAAGTTCTCCAAAGGGGATCATTGTTCAATTGATTACCAACAAAATTCTACCTTAATCCACATTTTTAAATCCTACCTCTGATAAGTAAGAAGAGGCAAAAGGGCTGTTTTGGGGCAGGAAGTTCAGCAACAGCAGGCAGTGGTGACAGGGAAGTGCACCTACCGCAAGTATTTACTACATAAAGCCTTACAAGAAGCTCTGAGAAGCAGACAGGAACTGTAGTGGGGTTCAGAGAGGCACCGCACAGAAGCATAACCACATTTGTAGATCTTGGCTCTGTCATTTACTAACCACGGAATTTAAGGCCAGTGAACTTAACTCCTCTAAGTCTCAACATCCTTTACTGAAACATGGAGTTAACAGCAGTGTGTTTTCAGAGAGTATTTCCCAAATGACTGATCTTATTTAATAAGCAGCTGAAGTACTTCTTTAAGACACTGACTCCCAGGTTAATTCCCTGCAGATTCTGATTCTGTAGGTCTGGAGTGGCATCCAACAGATCCGTAACATCAGACAGATTTGGGAAAAACTGGAAAATGATACTCACCTGTTAGTTTACATTTCATTGTCTTGGTTTTAGGCCAATTCCCTGCACAAAATAAAACTAAGGGAGCTCAAATATTGGTCATTATTCTTTCCCTCTGGAACATGGAAGGACCCAAATCCCCTGCAAAACCACAGGTATGTTTGGACTCCAAATGCATTTCCAGATCATGCCCACAGACATGGAGTGTAAATCCTCAGGAAAGATGGTGAGGATTATGATACTCCATTATTTTTTAAAGCACTATTAAAAAATGAGCTTTCTCTTTTGGGAGTTAGGGTGCCTGAGTTCTTTCACTAACATGCTATTTTTGTTTGTTTGTTTTTGGTTTCCTCACATACAAGATGAGGGAGGTGATATTTGCTCCTTCCAGAAAAGACATTTGAAAACCACTGTACTCCTAGGATCTTCTAGGACAGGAGTAAAAGAGCAAAGAAGAGAAAATTCTGTACTTGCAGTAGGATAATATCAAAAAACTCTGTACATTTACCTCCAAATTAAGGTTCGTTGGGAGGTGGGTAGTGTTCTTTCTTTATGTAACAATTTTTTTTGGAATGGAATATCTTTAAAGTCTTTATTGAATTTGTTACAATGTTGTCTCTGTTTTATGTTTTGGCTTCTTGGCCCCAATGGAAGGGGGATCTTAGCTTTCTAAATAAGGATCAAACCTGCACCCCCTGCATTGGAAGGTAAAGACTTAACCACTGGATTACCAAGGAAGTCCTGATGGGTAATGCTCTTAATTCACATTATTTAGGTGCTTTTTGCCCTCCCAGGTGTAGGTTTGGGATTCACCTCACCAGGAAGTGGCAGGGGTATCCTGGGGACTTCTAGAAACTTCTAACGACTTATCCAGCAAGCTCACAGAGTACTGTCACAAATACCAAGGTACACTAACACTGTCAGCAGATGTTCTGGGCTCTCTGAACCTTTCCTGGCATCCCACTGATGCTGCCACTGCCTGATTTCCCACTGGCCTGGAAATCCACTGGGTGGCCCATGGGTAAAAGGTTTTGAGAGAGAGTAGAAAGGAAATCAAGTTCTGCCTTGCACTGTGGATAATGTACCCTAGGCCAAAATTTTTAAGAAATTAATTTTTATTTAGCCCTAAACGACATAAAGAATGAATGAAGAGACAGAGCCAAAACAAAAACAACACCCAGTTGTGGATGTGACTGGTGATGGGAGTAAAGTCCAATGCTGTAAAGAGCAATACTGCACAAGAACCTGGAATGTTAGGTCCATGAACCAAGGCAAGTTGGAAGTGGTCAAATAGGAGATGGCAAGAGTGAACATCAACATTTTAGTAATCAGCGAACTAAAATGAACTAGGATGGGTGAATCTAACTCAGATGACCATTCTATCTACTACTGTGGGCAAGAATCCCTTAGAAGAAATGGAGTAGCCATCACATTCAACAAAAGAGTTCAAAGTGCAGTCCTGGGATGCAGTCTCAAAAACAACAGAATGATCTCTGTTCGTTTCTAGGGCAAACCACTCAATATCACAGTAATCCAAGTCTATGCCCCAACCAATAATGCTGAAGAAGCTGAAGATGAACAGTTCTGTGAAGAACTTACAAGACTTTCTAGAACTAACACCCCAAAAAGATGTCCTTTTCATGATAGGGGACTGGAATCCAAAGTAGGAAGTCAAGAAATACCTGGAGTAACAGGCAAATTTGGCCTTGGAGTACAGAATGAAGCAGGGTAAAGGCTAATAAAGCTTTGCCAAGAGAACACAACTGACATAGCAAACACCCTCTTCCAACAGCACAAGAGAAGACTATACATCGACATCACCAGATGGTCAATGCCAAAATCAGATTGATTAAATTCTTTGCCACCAAATATGGAGAAGCTATATACAGTCAGCAAAAACAAAAACATCTGACTGTGGCTCAGATCATGAAATCCTTATTGACAAATTCAGACTTAAATTGAAGAAAGTGGGGAAACCACTAGACCATTCAGATATGACCTAAATTAAATCCCTTATGATTATACAGTGGAAGTGAGAAATAGATTCAAGGGATTAGCTCTGATAGAGTGCCTGAAGAACTATGGACGGAGGTTCGTGACACTGTACAGGAAGCAGGGATCAAGACCATCCCCAAGAAAAAGAAAGGCAAAATGACTGTCTGAGGAGGCCTTATAAATAGCTGTGAAGAGAAGTAAAAGGCAGAGGAGAAAAGGAAAGATATATCCATTTGAATGCAGAGTTCCAAAGAAAAACAAAGAGAGATAAGAAAGGCTTCCTCAGTGATCAATGCAAAGAAATAGAGGAAAACAATAGAATGGAAAGACTAAAGATCTCTTCAAGTGATGGAGGGATACCAAGGGAAAGATACCATGCATATTTTCATGCAAAGATGGGCTCAATAAAGGACAGAAATGGTATGGACCTAACAGAAGCATAATATATTAAGAGGGGGTGGCAAGAGTGCACAGAAGAACTATACAAAAAAGTTCTTCACGACCCAGATAATCAGGATGGTGTGATCACTCACCTAGAGCCAGACATCCTGGAGTGTGAAGTCAAATGGGCTTTAGGAAGCATCACTATGAACAAAGCTAGTGGAGATGATGGAATTCCAGTTGAGCTATTTCAAATCCTAAAAGCTGATGCTGTGAAAGTGCTGCACTCAATATGCCAGCAAATTTGGAAAACTCAGCAGTGGCCACAGGACTGGAAAAGGTCAGTTTTCATTCCAATCCCAAAGAAAGGCAATGCCAAAGAATGCTCAAACTACCGCACAATTGCACTCATCTCACACGCTAGTAAAGTAATGCTCAAAATTCTCCAAGCCAGGCTTCAGCAATACGTGAACCGTGAACTTCCAGATGTTCAAGCTGGTTTTAGAAAAGGCAGAGGAACCAGAGATCAAATTGCCAACATCCGCTGGATCATCGAAAAAGCAAGAGAGTTCCAGAAAAACATCTATTTCTGCTTTATTGACTATGCCAAAGCCTTTGACTGTGTGGATCACAATAAACTGTGGAAAATTCTGAAAGAGATGGGAATACCAGACCACCTGACCTGCCTCTTGAGAAACCTGTATGCAGGTCAGGAAGCAACAGTTAGAACTGGACATGGAACAACAGACTGGTTCCAAATAGGAAAAGGAGTACGTCAAGGCTGTATATTGTCACCCTGCTTATTTAACTTATATGCAGAGTACATCATGAGAAACGCTGGGCTGGAAGAAGCACAAGCTGGAATCAAGATTGCCGGGAGAAATATCAATAACCTCAGATATGCAGATGACACCACCCTTATGGCAGAAAGTGAAGAAGAACTAAAGAGCCTCTTGATGAAAGTGAAAGAGGAGAGTGAAAAAGTTGGCTTAAAGCTCAACATTCAGAAAACTAAGATCATGGCATCCAGTCCCATCACTTCATGGCAAATAGATGGGGAAACAGTGGCTGACTTTATTTTTGGGGATTTCAAAATCACTACAGATAGTGACTGCAGCCATGACATTAAAAGATGCTTCCTCCTTGGAAGAAAAGTTATGACCAACGGAGACAACATATTAAAAAGCAGAGAGTTACTTTGTCAACAAAGGTCCATCTAGTCAAAGCTATGGTTTTTCCAGTAGTTATATATGGATATGAGAGTTGAACTATAAAGAAAACTGAGTGCCAAAGAATTGATGCTTTTGAACTGTGGTGTTGGAGAAGACTCTTGAGAGTCACTTGGACAGCAAGGAGATCTAACCAGTCCATCCTAAAGGAAATCAGTCCTGAATACTCATTGGAAGGACTGATACTGAAGCTGAAACTCCAATACTTTGGCCACCTAATGTGAAGAACTGACTCATTTGAAAAGACCCTGATGCTGGGAAAGATTGAAGGTGGGAGGAGACGGGGATGACAGAGGATGAGATGGTTGGATGGCATCACCAACTCAGTGGACATGAGTTTGAGTAAACTCTGGGAGTTGGAGATGGACAGGGAGGCCTGGCGTGCTGCAGTCCATGCCTTGCAAAGAGTTGAACTCAACTGAGCAACTGAACTGAAAAGATATAAATATTAACTAGATCTTCAATTCAAACATTTATAAAATCCTTTTTTCCTTAGTATATTTAATAAGCATTTCAGTTTTCACTCTGATGCTATAGGAACTAGAATGCTCTAGCTAGGATATTGGTTTTTTCATACTTTCTGAAAGGTCTTGAAAAACAGCATTTGTATGTTCAACACCTACTGTACATTTACTAAGCTGTCAGGTGTTTTACTAAGCATCATTGTGATCCTCAGCTTGAAGTCCCACAAGTCTAAACTCACCCAAGATCACTCAACCTGTGAATGGTGAAACCAGAATTCAATCCCAAGCGTATCAGACTCCCACAGCCATCACCATTACTTGTATTTGGTCCCTTTCACACTGTCAACATAAACTTTCCTCCATAAGTTCCTTTCTACTTAAAAGAATGCATTTTCCAAATCTAATTTTTTTAATGGTTAACTTTTATTATTGGGTACTATGAAAAGTGCTACAAAATAAAAATGAGTAAATACGAATAATCACGGGATATGACTTTTCTTACCAGCTCTGGTGACTCTACTCTTTGTTCAGCCATATTATGAACTTCAGGAGCAAAGAGTAAGCTAAAAACTCCTTTAATTCCAGACCATGCTATAACAATTCCCCACCTCCAGTTGTACTCATAACTTGAATGCATCAGAATAGGGCTTACTAACACAACAGTAACAAACCTGTTGAAAGAAAAACATTTAGTTTAAATCATGCCTTATGTATTCATGCGTTTTGGGGTGGTTTTTTTTTTTTTTTGGTACAGTTGATACTATGTAGTAAATATTAAATTTCATGAAAACTTTTTCAGAAAACAGAAATCAATCCAGTTTATTAATAAGTTGTTCAAACTTTCTGGGACTAAGCAAATCTATTATCTAAATTTTGCATATAATACTCAAATCTTGAAAAATAAGGCTAGAAGCTCTATACAAGTATAAGAAATTATCATTAATACTAGTGTGTGCTGTTTAGGATTTTGGTAGTAAATCCCTGCAGGAAAACTTCTTCAGATAACATTGACAAGCTCCCTGGAAGGTCATGACAGGATTCAGAAATTAGACCGGGAGGACCTGTCATGAGGAAAAAGTAAAATCATTGTAGACACTTTAATAAATTTAGCTCAACCAAATTTTTTTGAGCTGCTACAGGAAAGTGAGGTGAAAGTTGCTCAGTCGTGTCTGACTGCTTGCAACCCCATGGATATACAGTCCTTGGAGTTCTCCAGGCCAGAATACTGGAGTGGGTAGCCATTCCCTTCTCCAGGGGCTCTTCCCAACCCAGGGATTGAACCTAGGTCTCCCACATTGCAGGTGGATTCTTTACCAGCTGAGCCACCCCAAGAATCATACACTAAATCACACAAATAATTTCTATTCCTGCCTCTTTTCACTATAGATTATTTTTCTATAGGACCCTATGCTAAAATTTAGATTCTATCTATAACAGACTTGCATCTCATTGTCCTTCAAATGAGATTTCAGCAGAACTACAACTGATAAATTTCAGCTTCAAAAAAGATATTGTGTATTAGTCACTTAGCTATGAATTTCATAAGACAATTTAGAGGATTCCTGTTATCTACAATTTGCCATCTATAATATATATAATTAATTTCGGCAAACTCTTCATGATCTACAGGTCCTCCTGGTCTAATTTCTGAATCCTGCCATGACCTTCTAAGGAGCTTGTCAGTGGCTCAGACAGTAAAGAATGCACCTGCAATGCAGGAGACCTGGGTTCGATCCTTGGGTTGGGAAGATTCCCTGGAGGAGGGCATGGCAACCCATTCTATTATTCTTGCCTGGAGAATCCCCATGAACAGAGGAGCCTGGTGGGCTACAGTCCACAGGGTCGCAAAGATTCAGACATGACTGAGAGACTTAGCACAGCACAGCACCTCCACCTTGCATTTAAGTCTTCTGCAAAGTAATTAGCTACATTTTCAGCCTTACTAAAAGATTTTTCTTTAAAATACCATTGAGTCCAGATGAAATAGAACAACTGATGTCATTTCCTGATATCAAAAAGAGAAAGGTAATTTAGCAAAGGCTCTGGAGTCAGCCTACTTAGGTTCACATTTAGACTTTTATTACTATGAAACCTTAAGCAAGTTATTTAACCTCTTCAAGCCTCAATTTCTTCATCTGTAAAATGGAAAAATAATAGTCACTGAATTGCCTCAAAGGACTTTCATGAAGATTCAACTAAATGAAGTAACATTCATAGGGCTTAGAATGATGTTTAGAGGGTGATCTGCCCTTAACACATGCTAGCAATGATTATGATATCCAGGCCTTTGTTTGACTCACCATCTCCAAAACATTTTTCTCAATAAGTCTCTTTACAGCAGAAAGTGAAGAGGAACTAAAGAGCCTCTTGATGAAGGTGAAAGAGGAGAGTGAAAAACCTGGCTTAAACTCAACATTCAGAAAACTAAGATCATGGCAGCTGGTCCCATCACTTCACAGCAAATAGATGGGGAAACAATGGAAACCGTGGTGATACACTTTATTTTCTTGTGACATACTGTGCACAGTTAATGTTAAATAATGGCCTTACCATAGTTATGACAATAATAAATGATGATGAAGTCAACAAAATGTTAGGAGCCATTAATCTGGTTGCTGGGGTGCTCACACTTAAACATGTTGAAACAGTTTCCTGCATCCCATCTCCAGAGATACAAATCAGTTAAATGGGATGGGCCCATGAATTTGCATCTCTATCGAGCTCATGGGTTATGCTGATGCTCCTGTTCTGCCCCTTCTCTCTTTACAGATGAAACCTTGAAGAGTAAATAGACTTTCCCTTAGTTGCACAGCAAGCTATTGTCAGGACCTTGACAACTATACAGGTTTCCTGACTGCATGTCCATAGCTCCTTTTGCTATAATGCACTTCTCAATTCTAATTCTGTACTTGAGAACCTGAGTCCAGTAAGCAAACTTTAAATTATAATCCTTACCTTACAAAATTCACTGTTACAAATAAGATAGACATGAAAACTACAGTGTGAAATTGAAAATATTTGATTTTTCCACATCCAATTACGATGCCAAAGAAAGTGTATATTAAATGTTGGAATATACATGAAAACATTATTAGAAACCTAGGATAAATGGAAAGGAAATCACACTTTAAGGGATGTGCTTTTTTAAAATAGTTTCCTTTTCACATAAAAGCATCTATCACATATCTACCACTCTTGTCTTAATAGAGGTCTTTGCCTCCATCACCGCTACTATCAACATTTAAAAACTATTCTGTTGGAATCGGAAACAGACTCACAGATACAGAGAACAAACTAGTGGTTACCAGTGGGGAGAAAGAAGAGCAAGACAGGAGTAGGGGATTAAGAGATAAAAACTACTATGTATAAAATAAATAAGCCACAAAAATATGTAGCACAGGAAAATATAGCCTTTATTTTATAATAACTTTAAATGGAGTAAAAACTATAAGAATAGTCACTACATTGTATTATGTTGAGATTAATACATATTATAAATAAACTATACCTAAATAAAAATTAATGAATTTCATTAAAAGTATTTTGTTGGAACTAAAATATATCATTCCATGTTACAATCACCCTCACACAAATATCTGTGGGCTGCCTCTCTTGCAGCAGAATAGTAAGATCAAGGCAGAAAAATAAAGATTTCCCCCCCCCGCCCGCCAAGTTGGTGATGTGGCCATTTTGCTGAGATGAGCTGGCAGCATATCCATGTAAGACCCATGACTGAAACCGCAGCTGAGGCTGCAGCAAGGAGCCCCCGCTCTGGTCAACTCTGACTTTGTAATAGCTGACTGGATCCCCTCAACACTCTGCACTACTTCTCCCGTTGTGATTTGCATGAAAGTCCTTTATCCAGTATTCTTGTCTGGAGAATCCCATGGACAGAGGAACCTGGAGGGCTATAGATCACAGGGTCACAAAGAGCTGGACATGACTGAGTGACTGAGCAGGCACACTCACGCCCTTATATTTTTTTAATTTATTTTTTTAACTGAAGGGTAATTGCTTTACAGAATTTTGTGGTTTCCTGTCATACATCAATAAGAATCAGCCATAGGTACACCCATGTCCCCTCCCTCCCAAACCTCCCTTCCATCTCCCTCCCTATCCTACCCTTCTAGATTGTCACAGAGCACCTATTTGAGTTCCCTGAGTCAGACAGCAAATCCCCATTGGTTATCTAGTTTACATATGGTAATGTGAATTTCTATGTTACTCTCTCCATACATCCTACCCTCTCCCTCCTCCCCGTCCCCTGGGTCCATAGGTCTGTCTTCTATGTCTTTCTCCATTGCTGCCCTGAAAGGAAACTCATCAGTACCATCTTTTTAGATTTCATATATATGCATCAGTATATGATATTTATATTTCTCTTTCTGACTTACTTCATACTATATAACAGGCTCATTAGAACTGACTCAAATGCACTCCTTTTTATGGCTGAGTAGCATTCCATTGTATATATGTACCACAGCTTCTTTATCCGTTCATCTGTCAGTGGACATCTAGGTTACTTCCATGTTCTAGCTATTGTAAATAGTGCTGCAATGAACACTGGAGTACATGTGTCTTTTTAAATCTTGGTTTCCTTAGAATTTATGCCTAGTAGTGGGATTGCTGGATTATATGGGCACACTCACGCCCTTATCTTAAAGGTCTCTTCTGTCTGATTTCTCATCTACCAAATTCCTAAAGATGTTGTGAGGCTGACTCTAATCCCATACTCTTCAGGAAAAATATCCTCAGCATGCTCGCTGGACATGATCCTCCTCTGAGTCCTCACAGTGCCAGTCATCAACACTATAGTTCTCAAGCAGAGAAGCACATTAGAACCACCCAAATTGCTTTCCAAAAATCTACATGTCTTGTGACTTTCCTGGCCTTCCAGCAGTTAGGATTTTTCCTTCTAATGCTGAGGGTATGGGCTCAATTCCTGGTCTGGGAGCTAAGAACCCACGTCTCGCAGCCAAAAAACCAAAACATAAAACAGAAGCAATGTTGTAACAAATTCAATAAAGACTTTAAAAATGGTCCACATTTAAAAAAAGAAACTTAAAAAAAAGCAAAAACAAAAATCTACACATCTAGTCCCACCTCCAAAGATTCAGTGCTTAGGGCGTGGGGCTGCTCTGGCTCCATGTGGTATCACACCTGGGTCTGGGCCAGGTCTGACTTGTACAGTCAGATCTCAAGTCCTGCCCCTTCTTGAACCCCTCTATTCAGACCTCCCCTTTCAGAGGACTGGGTGACCATCTGTCTGTCCCACAAACCAGTCTCCCTATAGGTAGGCCTCAAGATCTACACAGGGAAAGAAGCATTAGGAAGCCTCATTTTAGCTGCAGATAGAAACCATGTTCTCTGATACGGCATTACTCCAATCAAGCAGACAGTCCAATTCTCTACCTGACTCCTGTCACTTGATTCAACTGATTCAGAACTCCTAGCAGAAAAGGGTATCAGTGGGACCTCAAACCCCGAAGCTTAGTTTTATCAAAATTCAGAAATGATGGAATAACTGACTGAATAGAAGAATTTTTAAAATGTCTCCAAAGGACCTTAAGAAATACCTTACATATTAGTAAGATCCTAATAAAGATATAATTACTTACACTTATTCATAGTCTCTTAAATAAACACATCCATCATTTAACAATGAGTGTCTTCTGAGAAGGGACTTATTTTCAAAGCCCCAAACCTAGGATACAATGTCCAGGCCATAGGAGATAATAAGAAAGGCCTGATTGAATACATAAAAGAATAAACAACTGAATGAATAGAATGAGTAATTTATGATGATGCTGACAGACAGCATGACTGAGCTCAGAAAACTGTCCAAAATTCAGACAAAAAGGATATGTTCTATGAACTAGTTATTTCTAAGCTTCTGGTTTTTGAAAACCAGTAAAGTGTCATTCACATATACACAAGACTAGAATAAGCTACCAGAGAAGGCAATGGCACCCCACTCCAGTACTCTTGTCTGGAAAATCCCATGGATGGAGGAGCCTGGTAGGCTGCAGTCCATGGGGTCCCTAGGAGTCGGACACGACTGAGCTATTTCACTTTCACTTTTCACTTTCATGCATTGGAGAAGGAAATGGCAACCCACTCCAGTGTTCTTGCCTGGAGAATCCCAGGGACAGGGGAGCCTGATGGGCTGCCATCTATGGGGTCGCACAGAGTTGGGACACCACTGAAGCAACGCAGCAGCAGAATAAGCTACAGGGGCCATTTTTTAAAAAAGTTTGCAAAGTAATTTTTTTAAATAGTACCATCTTCCATGACTGTAATTTCATGAGAGAAATGACATTTTAAACATCAAAAACGTATGAAGGACATAATTTCACAACAAAAAATAGTCCTTTATATTAAAGCAACAAATCTTCACAGGAAAACTCAGGATAATGGCTTATTTTTCTCATTTCAACACTGGCTTTCATCCAGTGTGAGAATTTATACACTAGACTATGATTTGGTATGAAGTAATTCTGAGACAATTCTATAATTTAGCACAGCTGCTCAGAGAATGGCTAATGCCTTTGTCTGAGAAGACAGGCAAATGGCTTGTACTCTGTCCACAGATATCCTTGTAACACCAGAGGTAAAGCTAGATTAGAGTTTGTTGGTATCGCACCTTTCTGCTACTTTTCTTTTCTAGCTCTTTTCATACTACGATACTATCATTCAGGTATGTTATGTAGAAAACAAAGGAATAAAGTAGTTTTTAAACTTCTCACAATTGAATTTTTATCAAAGAGTTATAAGAACTACTATGATCTCTGAGCCACTGATATTACATTATTCATAATAGGAATATCAATTCACAATAGGAATGTCAATAATTACTGGTAACTTAAGTTCTTTTCAAATATGACTGGCAGTAAAATTAAAAGATAGAAAAGTTGTAAAAAGAAATTTCATTATTTTTGTGAAGGCATTTAAGCACTAAACTTCTATGAGACCTATACCAAGTACAAAATATGAGACTTACTTAGTAATTATCAACTTGATCCTTGGTTTAAAGCTTAAGGAATCTAAATTTAGTCCTACAGTCGCTAAAGCAACTGTTCCTGACATTCCCAAAAATTCCACTGAGGAGAAAAAAAAGAATAAAATTAGTTGTGTTCAAATCTGTACATGGAGCTACTTCTCTTGAGTGATGAATTGGGGAATTTAAAACAGTAATTGCATTTCTTAGAAAGTTGCTTAAAGGGATTGGCCTAAACCTTAGATTGGGGATTGACAACCTTTCTCTGTGAAGGATCATATGGTAAATATTTAGTATTTGCAGGTCACGTGGTCCTAGTTGCAACTATTCACCTCAACTGTTCTAGTGCATAAGCAGCCACAGGTAATATGTAACAAATAAGCACCCAGTAAATAATGGACATTGAAATTTTAACTGCAAATAATTTTTGCATGCTGCAAAATATTTTTATTTTGGGTTTTTTTTTTAATGTAAAAACCATTCTTAGCTCATAGGCAATGCAAAAAAAATAGGCATATTTGGCTATAGTTTGCCAACTCCTGCCATAGACCATCCTTGAGGACAGAGCTAATGAAAAATAAGTTTAACAGCCTCTAACCAGCACCTCAGGGACTCTGTGCTGCATGTCCTAGGGGTTGTGGCCCAAGCTCAGTGCTTTCTTGGTGACTGTAGGTCCTCAAGCCTACTGTTTTTTGGCATGATATGTAATTCATATGTAATTCCCTGGGCTCTAAACAAATGTGTCAATGCAATCTGAGGCAGGAAAACCAACTATGAAGAATGGTTGAACACCATCAATACCAACAGTCCTGAAGGTTACAGAGCCTTCAAATAGCACATTATAAATGTCAGACAAAAGGAAGGGAAAGTACATGCAAGGTCAGAGTGGAAGCCCTTTAAGCAGGGCAGAGCTGGTTCCTCCAGGAATGTCACCTCACCTTTCTCCATTAGTATCCCTATATCTGTAGAAAGAGTGTAAAAGAATAATGCCTCACAGAGTTCTGAGAATAAAATCAGACTACATGAAAAGTGCTTGGTATACTTTTAAAACAAGGGATAAATGGTCATCATTATTATTGAATTATTATTTTTAATGTTCACTTTACTGTTTATTAATTTGAAGAGGGCTATATTATTTTTTTGATTTACCTAAATCACTTAAAGCCACTTTAGATTTCTTTTAACCTACTTATTTAACTGAATTTAGCATAAATAACCAATGACAATAAACCAGCAGTATTAGGGACTGTGATAATAGGAAAATTATTCCTTGAAATCTTAATTCCAATATCCTATAACTCTAACTATGGGATTTTAAAGCTTATAGCTTTTTTAAACAACAGTCACTACTTAGAGGAAACATCTGCTACAAGGAGACCACTAAGTAACTTCATTTTTAAACTGATATTATTTAGTATAATCCCAATGCAACAAGAACATATAGTGTAAATGCATACATTAATACATCTATGTATATATGTATTTTTTGAAAACAGTACATATAGAAAAAATGTATCATTGGTAATTTTATGGGTGATCTCTTCTTTGACTTTTCAGATTTTTTTCCAAAATTCTACATGGAACATGTATTAGTGTTAAAATTAGAAAAACAAAGTCTTTTGAAAATTACAAACATTATTACTTTAAATAGTATTTTAAATGTACAAGCAGGGGGAGAGTCACAGAACATGTAATAAAGAAAGCAGTTTTCACCAGCATAAACCCAAGTTGTTAAAAATAGAGTTGTAAAGTTTTTCTCATTCAGGTGCAAGAAACCATCACAGGAAATTGATGGCACAGAAAAGTGGCTCTCTCTCTCAAACTCTCTCTCTTTCTCTCTCTGGTTTAGAAAAAGTGAAGGTCCTCCTAGTAGGAGAATCAAAGGGATTTTGTTTCCTAAAAACAACAGGATTCAGGAATGGATGTTTCCCAACAAGAAAATGTTAGGGTCATGACCAGAGTCCTTTGACATTTATAGCCTAGACCAATGACATAAAAAAAGAGTGAGAACAGTCAGCCTTGGAACACGTAAGAAAGGAATAACAATAATTTTTTAAAACAATAAAACTAACTAAAATCTGTTTCCATTCACCAGAAATTCTGACCAATGCCACTTGATAAAATATTGCTTCTGCTATAACAGACCCCTCTCACCACCACTCTTGCTGTACCTCTGGCCTAGACTTACACACAACCCATCATCTTACATGAATTATACGATGACTCTCTTAAAGTGCCTTTTATATTCTAGGGTTTCCGTGGTAGCTTAGATGGTAAAGAATCTGCCTGCAATGCAGGAGACTGAGTTCGATCCCTGGGTAGGGAAGATCCCCTGGAGAAGGGAATGGCAACCCACTCCAGTATTCTTGCCCGGAGAATTCCAAGGACATACCATGGGGTTGCAAAGAGTCGGACACGACTGAGTGACTAATACTTGCACTTTGGGGGCTTCCCTCATAGCTTAGTCAGTAAAGAGTCTGCCTACAATGCAGGAGACCTGGGTTCGATTCCTGGGTCGGAAAGATCCCCTGGAGGAGGAAATGGCAACCCACTCCACTATTCTTGCCTGGAGAATCCCACAGACAGAGGCACCTGGCAAGATACAGTCCATGGGGTCCCAAGACTAAAATTTTTCCCGTGGGCTGATATATTAACATTGTTAGCTATACGACCTGTCAACCAACAATGTTCCAATGTGTCTTTTGTCTATGTGGCAAAGTCTGTACAATTTCCTGACTATTTTATTTTATGAAAAAAAGAACAAATGTGCTGACACAGGTGATTTCTAAAACCCCAGGTATTGTGGATTTAACGAGACAAAAATGGAAATTACTACGTGTGCTCGAAGAGATGAGGTTCAAACCTCAATCAGACACTCCCTGGATTCAAGCCAGTTAACAATGTGTTCGTTAGTGAAGAAAAAAATAAAATTAGATAACACGACAGAAATGTCATGTTAGAGAATGTGTAAATAAAAATTTTATCTATATCTAGCTTTCTGGCAATGGAACTTCTCCTTAGAACTGTCTGTTCCTGACTTTTGTTGTCAGGATCTGAATAAGTATAAGAGGAGAGAACGGCCAGAAAATTGTTTTTAATTTCTGAAGCAGAGCAAAGTGTAATGGATGAGGGAGCGGGTATTCATTTCCTGGGGCTGTTACCAAAGTATCTTCAACAAGAATGTATTATCTCACAGCCTGGTGGCTAGGGGGTCCAAGATCAAGGCTTTGTAGCAGAGATTCCTTCTGAGAGCAAGTGAGGGAGCATCTACTCCAGACCTCTCAAGCACTTGACCAAGAGCACCTACATGAATTAGGAGGAAAGGGTAAAGTAATCAACATATACTGGCTGCTCTACCTTGAGCCCAGTGGCATGTTGGTAAATGTTTATCAGCAGCAATCTGGGTGGTAAAAAAAAAAAAAAAAACACAATTGATTGTGTCTGCCAATTTCCATGGTCCCACTAAGGCCTATTTCAAGCTACACCCAAGTTATGTCACTTGAATAAAGTGCTGGGAAGAGATGTGGACAGTCAGCTCTCATGAGCCAGTCAAAGTTACCTCCAGGACACCAGCATGAGTGAGTCACACGACACATACTACCTCACTAACGCCTGGCGCACCCCTCTAAATTAGGCTGTATTATATTACATTTATAGATGAGGAACTAACTGAAGTGTAAAGAGGTTAAGTAATATTCCAAAGTTACCAAGCTAATAAATTGTAAAACTCAGGTTTGAAGTGAAATCTGCCTAACTTTCAAGCTCTTTAAGGACTAATAGTTTATTCAACCAACATGTGTTTAATTATTATTGGGCCTATGGCAAGCATTGGGCTTGACTCTGGGAACAAAGAAAAGAATAAATATAAAGATGGATAAGAGACAGCTCTGTCTCAAGGAACTTACGGCCCAAGAGGGAAAAAAAGGAAATATTAAATTAACTTCTTTTCTTCAGGCACTTAAGGCATTCATAACAGGGACATAAGGGAGGGGGGAAATGAAGAGAGTAAGGAAATGAGTCTTCAGTGAATGTTTTTCTGTAATTTTACTGATTTGGGGTGGTGAGCAACAATAGGTAGCAGTTTATCTTAAGAGAAAGCAGTGCTGTTTGGTAACTGGAGGTGAAAAGAGGAAAAATTAACCTCTTGATACCTGAGGTCTTTCATGGATGGAATTGCTCCACTGTGTGAGCTAAGAGGAGAAGCATAATTTGGCTATGTTTTTGCCATAGTTGCTATGGCTTTGGGGGACTGGTTACCTCAGTCAATGGGGTAAAAACTTTAGTTCCCAATCTCACTGGACTAAACTAGAAGATGACTGTTTGAAGGTTTCCCAGCATTAGGCACTCTGATTCCTGTGATTATTCCTCTGTCCTGCTTTTCTTTCAGAGGTAGGTATACTTGATTTCTCCAACTCCTTTCCTGCCTCCTAGCCTCAGGTAAGGGCCGCCATTTCTGTGGCCCCCTCACTCTGGTACCCCCTGAATGGGTATTGCTGAACTGGAAAAGATCTCAGGAGCTTCTCTCCTAGCTTTCTCATTTTAGAGATGGGTTGCTAAGGGTCAGAGCAGAAATTGGCTCAGGTCTGTTTCCTCTTCCAGGGGACTGCCAGGGAATAAATGTAATGTCAAAGGTTAGAGTTAAAAAAGAATAAGAGAGTAACCACATGGAGGAGGAGTGCAAGAGAAGAGTTGAAATTTAGGGTATGTTAAGACAGTCCAGGAAAGAGCTAGAGGTGGCAGAAAGATAGTATGACAAGACACACAAAGGAGCCACATTACAAAAAAAAAGCAGAAAAGCTGTTGGGAGGAAGCTGGATTCAAGAACAAGGGAAAATTTAAAAACATAAAATACACATCAAGGATGGAATTTTTGTATCTGTTTCTGTCTTACCAATGTAGAAAGTCATGTACACCATTGAGATGCAAAAAATTATATTGGTCAGTGTATTGCTGAACAGGTCAGTCAATATAAACTGAATGAGCCTTGCACACCAATATCCACATACTATGCTCCCCAAAATGTCCAAGGTGAGGCCCACAATTACATGCAACTCTAGAAAAAGGAAATAAGAAAAAAGAAAGGTGAACTCTAATTATTTTTTCTTTTATTAATGGCATTTGGGCAATCCCCGTCGGTTTGCTCTCGAGATTCTGAGTGGGGACCTTGTTCTTCAGCAGATGGAAGTTTCTTTCCCATGAAAGCCTGGCAAAAGAGGCTTTCTGGGGATATATTCCCCCACAGTCTGCAGCTTGAGGTTTGCTTATCTGGGGACAGCGGACTCAAATGCTCTCAGGAGTTAGGCAGAGCATAAATGTGATTGGTGATGGACAGGGAAGCCTGGTGTGCTGCAGTCCATGGAGTCGCAAAGAGTTGGACAGGACTAAGTGACTGAACTGAACCGATAAAGGTGAAAAAAACACCTGGTGAGTGAATATTGAGCCAAACTACGTTTAAATACAATTTTTTTTTTTTTTTACAAACTATGTCAGGGCCAAGCACACCGTGCTCAGGATCCCCACAAGCCTGCAGCCTATTTGCAACTTCTGCTCATTATCACTTCTAGAACCTGACTCCCCAGTACTACTTTCACCCTCAGACTCAAACTCAGGACCAAGCCAATTCTTTTTTTTTTTTTTAATTGGAGGATAAATGCTTTACAGTGTTGTTTCTTTCTGTTGTATAACAATGTGAAAATCGATTCTTAACATTTACTCACTGAGATCCAGATTGGTCTAGCAAAGAGGTTAATCTGAGCTAGATGACACAACTGTGTGTGTGTGTGCACGTGCATGTTGAGATCATTTCTTTAACAACTTTCCCCTCTAATCTAAGGAAACACACAGTGGCAATTATTTTCTTGTTACCTGATATACTATTTTAATTGGTCCATAACTAAAGAATAGGGGAAGCAGCAAAGTTAAGACATCTTGAATATATTTTAATTTTGGTATGAATTAAAATGGACTACATAAGAATGATTTTAGAAAATACACAGATGGGACTTCCCTTTAAAACTCCACCTTAACAATGCAGGGGGCATGGGTTAAATTCCCAGTCAGGGAACTGAGGTCCTACATGCCATGGAGGGTAGCCAAAAATTTAAAAATTAAAAAAAAAAAAGAAAAGAAATAGAGAAAAAATTGCTCTTACCTCTAAAGCTGGACATCTGAAGTATGCCTCTCTGAAAAACTGAAAAACAAATGGATGTGAAGCCACAGATGATCATTGATTCTCCTCTAATGATATCAGTATACATCTTAGAAATGCCTGGAAATGGAAATATAAAACATAATTTAGTACGGTGCATGAAAATGATGCTCTTTCACAGGAAATACAAAAACAGAAGAGAAGGAATATTCTAGGAAAAAAAAAAAGAAGGCAGTCATTACTGTGATGGATCTATAAGATAATCATGATTACCATTTTTTAACTTCTCCATTGCGCCTTCTGCATCTCCAGTGGCAAAGGCACATGGTAATGACACATCTTGAAGCATCCATTGCATCAAAGCATGCTAGAACTTCAAAATGAGACAAAGCACTTCTCAGGTCACTACATTCAGCTTGAATAAATATGAATCATTAGACTCCAAAAGAACCACATTTTAGAAATAAGTATAAAATATGACCTAGCAATTCTGCTCCTAGACATATACCCAAAAGAGCTGAAAACATATGTCCACACAAAAATGTGTACATGGACAGTCATAGCAGCATTTTCATAACAGGAAAAAAGTGGGAACAATACAAAGTCTATCAGCTGCTAGACAGATAAATATAGGTGATTTATCCCTATAATGGAATATTACTCATCCACAAAAAGGAAGGGAGTACTGATACATGTTACAACATGGATGAACCTTTAAAAAAATTACAAAGTGAAAGAAACCAGACACAGAAATCACATATTGTATGGTTTGATTTATGTGAAATGTCCAGAATATGCAGATTCATAGACAGAAAATAGAATACTGGTTGCCAGGAACTTAGGGGAGGAGGGAATGAGAATGAATGACTGCTAACAGGCATGAGATCTCTTTTGAGGTTAATGAAAATGTTCTAAAATTAAGTAGTGAAGATGCCTGCATAACTGTAAATCTACTAAAGACCACTGAATTTTATAACTTAAAAGGGTGAAGTTTATGATGTGTGGGTTACATATCAATAAGGCTGGTATTTAAAAATTAAATATAAAATGTTATTGACATTTAACATTTACCAACAGTTTAATAGAAAATATAATCAAATTAACTGCCTACTGTTATACAATTTGCAAGAAGGATGACAGTGATTGGTACCTGCCCATCTAGTATCTATCCTCTGTTCTTGGTAACAAGACTGATTTTACTCAGGGTGGCAATGTGCTCAGCTAGATGATAACCGTTCCCCAACTCCTGGGCTTCTAAGAGTGGACACTGAGATATAAGTGGAAGTCACTGAGTGGAACTTTTGGGAAACTCCTTGGAGGGAGAGGTGACTTGGCTGAAAGGAACATCTTTCCATCCCTTGTTCTTCTTCCATTTCCTGCCTGAAATATGGAATGATAGCAGGAACTTTAGCAGTCAACTTGTAATACTGAGGATGGATGCCATACACAAAGGGAAAGAGCAGATAAATAAACCCCACGATAGACAGCAACCATTTTTGCTTTAAATATTATCTTTTAAAAAGAGTAAAAATAAGAAAAAGTCATATTTTCCCATCGGTTTAAAATTATGGTGCTTTCCATTCTTTTTTGCAGATGAAATTTTCCATCTGGTTCCATTTTCTTTCAGCCTGAAAGGCTTCTTTAACATTTTTGTAGTGCAGGTCTGTTAGTGATAATTCTTTCAGCTTTTATATTTAAGTCTTTATTTCTCCTTTACTTTTGAAAGATATTTTCTCTGAGGATTTTAAGCTGGCAGTGTTTTTCTTTCAGGATTTTAAAAGTGTTGCATACCATCTTTTGGCTTGCAATGTTTCTGAAGAGAAGCCTGTTATCATTATTAGTTTTGTGTCTCTGTATATAATGTGTCTTTTTTTCCTCTGGTTACCTTTGAAACTTTTTCTTTACCACTGATGTTTAGGAGTTTGATTTTTATGTGCCATGGTATAGTTTTCAATTGTATTTCTTGGGCTTGGAGTTTGCTGAGCTTCCTGAGTCTGTGGTTTATAGTTCTCATCAAATTTAGAAATTTTTCATCCATTATTTCTTCAAATAGTTTTTGTTGCTTTCTCTCCTCTCTTTAAGGAACTTGTATATTAAGGCACTGAAGTTGCCCCACAGCTCACTAATGTTTTGCTTATTCTTTCAGCCTTCTTCTGTCCTTCATCTTGTGCATGCTAAGTCGCCTCATTCGTGTCTGACTCTTTGTGACCCTATAGACTGTAGCCTGCCAGGATCCTATGTCCATGGGATTCTCCAGGAAAGAATAGTGGAGTAAGTTGCCATACGCTCCTCCAAGAGAATCTTCTTGACCCACGGATTGAACCTGCATTTCTTATGTCTCCTGCATTGGTAGGGAGGTTCTTTACCACTAGTGCCACCTGGGAAGCCCATCTTGGATAGTTTTTATTACTACATCTTAAGCTCACTAAATGGCAACCCACTCCAGTATGGAAAATCCATACTGCCTGGAAAATCCCATGGACAGAGGAGCCTGGCAGGCTACAGTCCATGGGGTCACAAAGAGTCGGACACGACTGAGCTTTGAACTTTAAGTTCACTAATCCTTTCTTATGCTGTGTCTAATCTGATTCCATCCAGTGTACTTTTCATCTCAGACATTGTGGGTTTCATCTCTAGAAGTTTTATTTAGGTCTCTTTTATATCTACCATGTCCAGTGGTGTACTGATAAACCAGCTTTCCAAAATCAAAAAAGGCCTCATTTGTACTGATTTGTAGCATTTGCCAACTTAATATGTAAACACTCCTACCATAACTAATTCAAAGCTACCAAAAGTTTAACCACTGGCTTGCAAAATTGCTATTGATTTAAAAACTGGCTCTCTTAAGCTGACAGGAGCAATTCTACCCCATACTCAATCTTTTTCTAATTTTTTGAACCAATGGAATATAGTTACAAGTGTCTTAATATATTTGTCTATTGAATCTACCATCTGCAGCATTGCTAGGTCTATTTCTACTTGTTTATGTACACTTTATGGGCCATTTTTTCAGCTTCTTTGCATGTCTTCCAATTTTTTATTAAGATAACTTAACTGTATTATTACCTAATCAGGTGCTGTATGTTTTTGTATTCTCATATTCTTGAGCTTTGCTTTGTAATGCAGTTGTTACTTTGAAACAATTTGACCCTTTTGAGCCTTGTTTTTTAGATTTGTTAGGTAGGGCCAGAGCAGCCTTTAGTCAAAGGTTAATTTTCCCCGCTACTGAGGCAATAGCCTTTGGAGTCCTTTACCTGATGTCCTATGAATTATTATGGTTTTCCACTTTGGCTGTAGTGAACATGAAAGGGATTTTTCCCCTCTGATCCTTTGAGTGTTTTCATTCCTAGCATTGTGCAGTTTCTTCACATGCATGCACTAATGAGCACTCCCTCACCCAAAGACTCAAGTGGGTAGCTCTCAAAATTCCTTCTTCAGTACAGCTTTCATTCCTGCAGCAATTTGCCCCATGAACTTTCACTGCTTTGGCCTTCCTGGACTCCCAACTCTAGGTCTCCTCAACTCAAAGAAACTACCAAGTTCCAGAGGTTACCTTTCCCTGCACAAAGACCTAGAAACTCTCTCCAGGTAATTAAGCTATGGTAAGGGCAATCAAAAACATACTTCTTTTTTCCTTTCTTGAGTATTACTGTCCCGCATGGCCTGGTGTCCATTATCTGAGAACTATTTTTCATTTTCATATATTTTGTCTGGCATTTTAGTTGGCTCAGGTAGAAAGATAAGTCTAGTCTCTGTTACTTCATATTTTTTAATTTAACAAAGACATTTATTTATATAGCAAATATTAATGAAATCACTCAACATTCAAAAAATGAAGATCATGGCATCCGGTCCCATCACTTCATGGGAAATAGATGTGGAAACAATGGAAACAGTGACAGACTTTATTTTCCTGGGCTCCACAATCACTGAAGATGGTGACTGAAGCCATGAAATTAAAAGACCCTTGCTCTTTGGAAGAAAAAAAAGCAGAGACATTACTTTGCCAACAAAGGTACCTCTAATCAAAGCTATCGTTTTCCCAGTAGTCATGTATGGATGTGAGAGTTGGACCATAAAGGAAGCTGAGTGCCAAAGACTTGATGCTTTTGAACTATGGTGTTGGAGAAGACTTTTGAGAGCCCCTTGGACTGCAAGGAGATCAAACCAGTCAATCCTAAAGGAAATAAGTCCTGATTATTCATTGGAAGGACTGATGATGAAGTTGAAACTCCAATACTTTGGCCACCTGATGCGAAGCATTGACTCATTGGAAAAGGCCCAGATGCTGGGAAAGATTGAAGGTGGAAGGAGAATGGACGACAGAGGATGAGATGGTTGGATGGCATCACCGTCCTGATGTACATGAGTTTGAGCAAGCTCCAGGAGTTGGTGATGGACAGGGCAGCCTGGTGTGCTGCAGTCCATGGGGTCACAAAGAGTCAGACCCAACTAAGCAACTGAACTGAGTGAGTAATAAATTTATTAGCAAATTTACTAATATATCATTTAACTCTAAAACTTTAATAAAGATACAAATTAAATTCAAGTTAAGTGTTAAAAGACACATTTCAAATAAGAACACTAATTAAAAGACATATGATGTTGTTTAAATGAAACTAAATCAACAGCGGTGGCATTAACACTGGAGATTTTAAATTCAAGTCCAATTCTGAATCTTTGTTAAATTAAGACTGTGGAGAATCTCAGTTATCTACTTTTGAAGTATTTCAATAAGAATAGCAATTCTTTAAGATTTACATAATCTCATTGATTACTCATTAACAACCTCATGAGGTATAAATTGTTATTACCCTCATTTACTGATGAGAAAATTGAGGTAAATATAGGTTAGGATATTTGCCCAAGATCACAGAGTTGGTAGGGGCTTACCAGGCGACACCAGTGGTAAAGAACCTTCCTGCCAATGCAGGGGACACAAGAGACTTGGGTTTGATCCCTGGGTAGGGAAGATCCCGGAAGAGGGCATAGCAACCCACTCCAGTATTCTTGCCTGGAGAATCCCATGGGCAGAGGAGCCAGGCAAGCTGCAGTCCATAGGGTTACACAGCGTCAGACAAGACTGAAACAATTTAGCACGCATGCATATAGTTGGCAAGGGGTAGAGATGGGGTTATAACTTCCTGTCTACTAGCCAAAACACTAAGCTATTCTGCCTTTCATAGTACTAACCAAAAAGTGCTATCGTGAGCACAAAAATGAACAAAGTATATAATACTAAGCATGTTGACTGTCACATAGTCAACACTTAACATATATTAACTAATATTTTGTCATCATTACCCTCTCATATACCTCAAAGCCTTTTCTGTCCTGGGGAAATGTTCCCTTTTCATCTTGGTCAACTTATAACATGTCATCAACCAACTCTTCTCCAGCACCCATCCTTCACAGACCTGATCCTGTTACTCCATCTTAACTACAGGAGTTATATAAAGGAATCCAGTGTCCTCAATGATTTCATGGAATTACAGGCCAGCCCTGGACTTCTTTTACTTAAAAGCATAAACTCAAATTTAAGAACATATGACACATAATGGTGCATTATGCAGCCTAATGTAAATACAAAATGATATAGAAAGAATTATACAACTACATGGTTTTTTAAAAGCAGCTATTTAATATATTTCATTGCATTAAAATCCAAACTGATCACATTAAACAACACTTTTTTAATGCAAGCAGAAATGATCTGATGAAGATTCTAATTTTTTCCCTTTGATATTTTGAAACACAAAATAATTAAAAATATATAGCTGAGGGTTCTCATTATTACTATTTCTAAGATACTATGCATAGTTGAAAAGACAGCAGATCTCTGCTTTACAGTGTTTGATCTGAGTATATGAAATATCAGATTATAAAGATTCTATCTTTACAAAAACCCTCTGAAAGATAGGATAGATACCAGGATGATACAGAATTTCTGATAACTCAGTGCCTGATTATGGATCAATATTCGGGCTGTTTATTTCTTTTCTTTGTGCCTCATTATTGTAGCCAATTTTAATTTGCTTTCTTTCTTTAGAAAGCAAAGAAAATAAAAGGCAAGGTAAATTATAATTATCTTATACTACTACTTGCTATTAATTCTGACTATATGACAGAAGACACAAAATACTGGTTAAACAGGTTTGAAGGCTATTGGCACATTTGATTTAGCTGGTCAAGAAATCCTTTAGTTCTTCCCTTAGATTCAATAAGTCAACCAGGAGCAAGTAGAGCATAAGGTTTACTGTATAAAGTTTTGAATTTGATGTATAGTTATTTTTAATAGTAAAATACCACAAGAATTACTCCCCACATTTTTATTGGCTTAATGTGAACTAACTTATATACATTAATTCACTGTAAAATTTTTAAAAGGAAATAATAAAACAAAAAATCATCTGTAATTCCATGACTCAGATAAAACCACTTGAATGTGGAAGGCATTCTCGAAGCATATAATTCCTTTTACTTAAATTGAAGTCATACTAAAACTTTGTATTTTATCCCTTTACAAGCTCCTAGTTCAGATTCATTTTAAAGTAAAAACTGTTTGAGCCTTTGCGTTCTTTTAAAATAGGTAATAGACAGGTTCCTTTTAACTTGTATGTGAACATTCATTATTTTTTCAGTGAGTCAGTCCACCTCAGACTCAGACTCTGCAGGTTTCACAGTGCTCCAGAGCACCACATCAAATGAAGAAACACTCACAGTGTAGGAACTGCCATTTCCTAATATATTCTGGCAATTTTAGGCACATGGCAAAAAATATATATTTTTTCCTTAAAAAAGATAATGTATTACAACAATTAGATAGAGGATCATTTTTATCTAATTCACACAAAGGTAAAGACATCAATGAATCCAGAACTATGTAACATCTGAGTATAACTGGCATAAAGAAAATATCAACTAAGAGTCAAATACCTTTAATAGTTTTCTTGTAAAGAAATGGAAGACTTTCTACTCTCTATTTGAAAATTTTTTTGAATATAGAAACTGCAATAAATAAAGTTTATAGTTTATTAGAGCCTCTGACAGTTAAGAGATTGCAGAAAGGGGAGCAGGAATATAATGAGGTGAATAAAACAAGTGGCAAATACAAATGGCTTAGAGAGAAAAACAGATGGAGAAAAGACAGAAAAATATTGCACCTACAGGGAAAAATGAGAGAGAAAAAGAAGATAGGGTCAGACTCTTTGAGAAATATCCGGTGACAATTTATAGTATCACCAGCAAAAGTGTCAAAACCTCTTATGTTTTCTCAACTGTAAGTATAAATACGTATAGAAGGGGATATCACCTGCCAGAAGGTAGGTGTCCCACCCTAATCATAAAGTGATATATTTCCACTAAATATAATTGAAACCTTAAAATTGGTTGGTTAAATATTTCTGAGTCAAAATCAGAAATAACAGCATCTAACCACGTTATGTTTTTTTTACTGCTGTGTGAATAAAACACGACAACAGCTATTTCAGAGTGAAATTATCTTTTACCAAATAATATGGCAAGTAGTTCAGAACCCCTAGCCCTCTTGGGAATAAGCTTTTATTGAATAACATATTTGTCAGAATATACTTTCACCTCATTACTTCTAAATAAGCTCCCTCTCCCACCTGCCCAAAGCTAGCTACTTTAAAATAAAGGCCTTTCTGACAAGAAGTACCCAGGACTTTTGAAAAGTGCTGCAAAGATATAGTGCCAAATCTCTAGCTTGTGGCTTAGAACTCAGTGGAATGGAATAGAATACCAATTTTAACCATCTTCTAGAAAGACAACATTTTCTCCTTGAAAAAAATTATTTCAGATTATTTATCCCAGATCCTGGGTTGCTTTATTGATTTTGCATACTCCTCCAAGAAAAACAGCACAAAATGGCTACTCTGCTGGATGCACCATTCACTCAAGAATATTATCAAAAGGAAATTTATCCTCATATCTTCAAAATAAGAGAGAGAAATAAATCCAACATACCAATAGTTTTCAGTGAATTCACAGAATAAATAGGATCTGTAATGCCAAGGGCCATGCTAAAGAGGATGCAAGACTCCAAATCCCATGAATGTTTATTGAATTTCAGAACCACATATCCAATTATGATGAATGTTGTAGCAAAGCTAATTAATCCAGTTAAGAAGACCTGTGAAACCAATTCACAATACAGTATTAAATTTGACATGTAAGCATGGCATGACTGCATTTACTCATGTAAGAATCAGATCTTGCTATATATTTTATACAATTACTCAGAAAGATAACTTTAAAAGGTATTCTAGTTTACCTGCCTCAATGAAACCATCCCTTCCAAACAATTCTACCTATGAGAAGATCAATGCACCCATCTTTCTTGTTGCTATTCAAGATTAATAGCTTTCCACATCAAAATGTTCTAAGATGGAGTGCAAATTTTTCTTGCCTCCATACAAAGCATTTCCTTGTTTCTACAGTGATGATCTACAGGGCTCCAGGCAGGCAACAATGGATGAAAACTACACCCCAGCTGACTCGGTCCCCTTATTAAGGGCTTTCTGGAAAAATCCATAGTTAGCAAACTGTTGTATACATTTCGTTGCCCAATAGGTTTCTGACACAACCACACCTGTCAGGGATGTCAGGAAATAAGCACTATTTCACACTCGGCCCACTACCATACTATACATACAGTAAATCACTCCATTATTGAGAAAGAAAGGGACAGGCAATCAACAATGCCTGCCTTAAAAAAGAGCAATAGAATGCAAAACTTTTAAACCACAAGAAGGAAAAAAAATAAAGAAAAAATTTTTAAAAGAATAAAGAAAATTGAATCAATTGACTGAGAAAGGGAAAAAGAATGAGGAAAAGCAAAGGAAAAGCATTATAAATTAAAAGTACAAAATCACATGGGATGGGTAAATTCAAACCTATTTCTTTTGATCTTTAAAAAATTTATCTTTAACTTACATACAGTAAAATTCATTCTCTGACTGAATAGTTATATGAGTTTTGACAAATGCATGTAGTCAGGTAAACATGACCACAATGAGAAAACAAAACAGATCCATCACACTCAAAAATTTCTTCATGCTGCCACTTTATTTCTTCCCTCATCCTGCTCCCTGGCAACCAATGATCTGTTTTCCAAAGTATTTATTTGCTTTTGCTAGAAGGAAAGGAATTCTATGTATGGAATTATATTATTCCATAGGTACCCTTCTAGCCTGGTTTCTTTCTCTTATCATGCTGCTGCTGCTGCTGCTAAATCACTTCAGTCGTGTCCGACTTTGAGCGACCCCATAGACGGCAGCCCATGAGGCACCCCCATCCCTGGGATTCTCCAGGCAAGAACACTGGAGTGGGTTGCCATTTCCTTCTCCAATGCATGAAACTGAAAAGTGAAAGTGAAGTCGCTCAGTCGTGTCCGACTCGTAGCCACCTCATGGACTGCAGCCTACCAGGCTCCTCCGTCCATGGGATTTTCCAGGCAAGAAGAGTATAGGAGTGGGGTGCCATTGCCTTCTCCATCTTTTATCATAATACATCTGAAATTCTTCCATATTCTACTTATCAATATTCTGTTTCTTTTTTATTGCTGAGTGAAAATACTAAAGACTTAAACATGTGGGGTGAAGCTAAAAAGTTATTACCAAAAAATTTCAAACTTTAAACACACAAAACAACAACAATAAAAGAAGCTAAAAGTCAATCAACAATACCTAGCTCAAGATATTAAAAAAAGTACAGAATAAAATCAAAGAAAATAAAAATAAATAAATAAAAGAAAATAAAACAATTTGAAAAGAAAAATAATCTGGCAAACATGATTAACAAAGAAAGAGGAAGGCATAAAATGGAAAATGGACAAATCTACAGACACAGCTGAGAGGCAGTCAGGGGTGGGTTCAGACCCAGGCTCTTCCATTGGTCAGTGTTGTGACCTCTGAACTATAGTTTGTCTTATGCGAAATGGAGATGATATTAACTCAGTGTCTTAGTCACAGTAACTAATCTTAGTTACAGATCAGCAAATATTTATTCCTTCTCCCTCCCCTCAACTCTCTTTAATTAGTGATTCTGCACAGCAAAAAGAGTCAAACAACTAAAAATGTGAGATTGGTGAAACATTAATGTGAGATTGGTGAGTTATTAATCTCTCTAGACAGATTCTCTGTCAACATGAATAAGGAATAATGGACCATACTTTGTCTTAAAATGTGTTCTTACCTGCCAAAACACATTCTTGAGTATATAGAAGTCTACATCCAAAGCAGCCATAAATATAATTAAAGGTGAAAAATAACAATAAAGTGAAAAACTTGATGTTCTTAGAAGAGGGTAGACAATTTGGTGCATCTAATTAAACAAAGGCAAACAAAAAATTACTTTATTACCATTTTGAAGTATTAGAAATTAGGTTGATGATCTGCCACAATATGAATTTTACAATATTCCAATTTGCAACTAATGAGAGATAACCTACAATGCCAGTCCTGGGGGTCTTGTGGTAGATTTCTTGATCTAACCATCCACATGAGATAAATGCATAGTCCTCTATTCACCAGAAATATGTGTGACTTTAGGCTATGTAAACATTTCTTGTGGTAACTAATCAGTGTTTTCAAAAATGGTACTTCACCATCAGTTATCCCAAGGTGATTTTAGGTGGTACTTTTTTATTTCCTGTTAGGTAATTATTTTAATTTGTGTAAGAGTGGGAGAAAGACCTTTGCACGGGTACTTGTGATTTCACAGACATTTGCTTAGGATTTTAAAATATTTCAGTGAATTAAGTAGATAAAAATAATACATGGATAATAGTATAGATTGTATATATAGGATATAAATCATGAAGGTTATATACAGATGAATAGAAAACACAGCAACAATGGACTGAAGTGTAGTAAATATATCCTAAAAAGTCTTTGGCCCAATCAACAGTTTAATCTTCACTACTTAACATCTCTGTGCCTCAGCTTCCTCATCAGTAAAATGGGAAAAGAGTACCTACTTTCATTGGATTGCTCTGAGGAGAAATTAACTCAAGAGTTAATAAGTTAATACAGGTTTCATAGGTGGGACTAGTGGTAAAGGATCTGCCTGCCAGGAAGGAGATGTTAAGAAATGTGGGTTTGAAACCTGGGTTGGGAAGATCCCCTGGAGGAGGGCATGGCAGCTCACTCCAGTTTTCTTGCCTGCAGAATCAAATGGACAGAGGAGCCTGATGGGCTATGGTCCGTAGGGTTGCAAAGAGACACAATGAAGTGACTTAGGACGCACAGTAAGTTAATAAAATATTAAAATTAAAAAACCAAAGAACTTAAAAGGGAGTCTGGCACACAGATAACACTCAAAAGATGCTAGTTGTAGTGGTGGTGTTTCAAAGAATAACAAGAGGCTTTTACAACCCTAAATGCTCAAAATTCTCAATTCTTCAAGCCAGGCTTCAATAGTACTGTGAACTGTGAACTTTCAGATGTTCAAGCTGGATTTAGAAAAGGCAGAGGAACCAGAGATCAAATTGTTAACATCTGTTGGGTCACCAGAAAAGCAAGAGAATTCCAGAAAAACATCTACTTCTGCTTTATTGACCATGTCAAAGCCTTTGACTGTGTGGATCACAACAAACTGTGGAAAATTCTTAAAGAAATGGGAATACCAGACCACCTTACCTGTCTCCTCAGAAACCTGTATGCATGACAAGAAGCAACAGCTGGAACCAGACATGGAACAACAGACTAGTTCCACACTGGGAAAGGAGTACGTCAAGACTGTATATTGTCACCCTGCTTATTTAACTTATATGCAGAGTACATCATGCGAAATGCCAGGCTTAACAAAGTACAGCTGGAATCAAGATTGCCAGGAGAAATATCAAAAACCTCAGATACACAGATGACACCACCTTTATGGCAAAAAGTGAAGAAGAACTGAAGAGCCTCTTGAAAGTGAAAGAGGAGAGTGAAAGAGCTGGCTTGAAACTCAACATTCAAAAAAAGAAGATCATGGCATCTGGTCCCACCACTTCATGGCAAATAGATAGGGAAACAACTGAAACAGTGGCTGACTTTATTTTGGGGGTCTCCAAAATCACTGCAGATGGTGACTGCAGCCATGAAATTAAAAGACGCTTACTCTTTAGAAGAAAAGTTATGACCAACCTAGACAGCATATTAAAAAGCAGAGACATTACTTTGCCAACAAAGGTCCATCTGGTCAAGGCTATGGTTTTCCAGCACTCATGTATGGATGTGAGAGCTGGACCATAAAGAAGGTTGAGTGTGGAAGAATTGATACTTTTGAACTGTGGTGTTGGAGAAGACACTTAAGAGTCCCTTGGACTGCAAGGAGATCCAACCAATCAATCCTAAAGGAAATCAGTCCTGAATATTCATTGGAAGGACTGATGCTGAAGCTGAAACTCCAATACTTTGGCCACCTCATGTGAAGAGTTGACTCATTGGAAAAGACCCTGATGCTGGGAGGGATTGGGGGCAGGAGGAGAAGGGGATGACAGAGGATGATGGCTGGATGGCATCACCGACTCAATGGACATGAGTCTGAGTAAACTCCAGTAGTTTGTGATGGACAGGGAGGCCTGGCGTGCTGTGATTCATGGGGTCGCAAAAAGTCAGACACGACTGAGTGACTGAACTGAACTGAACTGAACTCTGCTGCTGTACATTTAAAATCGTGTCAATAAGTCCTGATGCCCTGGGAAGACCCAGAGGGATCGGGTGGAGAGGGAGGTGGGAGGGGGGACCGGGATGGGGAATACATGTAAATCCATGGCTGATTCATTTCAATGTATGACAAAAACCACTGCAATGATGTAAAGTAATTAGCCTCCAACTAATAAAAATAAATGGAAAAAAAATAAAAAAATAAAATCGTGTCAATAAATTAACAAAGTTTTTCTTGGATCAAAGTAATATTTTGTAGGATGTATGTTTTGCACTTAATCTGGCAGTTAGAAAAGAGTAATCATAATTCATCATGACAGTAACTGAGCCTTTGGTAACTAGAGTCCCTGCATGTGTTGAAGACAATAGCATGAGAGAATCCAGTTGTATGTACAGAGAAAGGAAACAGGAGCAAGGACCAAAGGCAGATGGTGAAGAATCCAAGAAGGCAATTAGATTTACTCACTTTCAAATTACTATTTTAAGCCTCTCTAATTCATGTTTCCTTTCTTGGATGGTTTTTCATTTTCAAAAACTTTAATACTAGATAAACTTTTCTCAGTAGCTGTTCACATAAAAAAAAAAATCCATTCATTCAGGTATGGAGACAGGAGTTGACCTTGTTTTTGGTCTTTGATCTTTAGTCTATCCTCTAGTTTATCATATGTAAGTTACCTGAACAAAATCGTAGGCCAGTTGTCCTATTAAAAATCCAAATAGAGAAAGAATTGTCAAGACAATGACTTCAGAATTCTTTAAAAATGCCCTCAGAAGTCCTAAAAAAAAATAAAAAATACATGTATGTGTTATTTGGACATAAGGTATGGTTTTAAAACAATTTATTATTATCTCTCTTTAGGTATTTGATTTTAAACTTCCTCTGAATGTCAGATTATTATGAAGAAATAACTGACAACTGTTATATAACGCTATCTCTTAGTATAAGACACAAATAATGAGACTGCACTCATGTGAATTTGGAAAATTTTGAAGTTCCAACAACCTCCCATTTGCCAACCCAGTGGCACTATCTGGGTATCCTGCTTCTGGATCTGATGAAGAGAAATTATGAAAATGAAATTTCCTATCCTCAAAGTAGCAGTTCAGTTTAGTCGCTCAGTTGTATAAGACTCCTTGTGACCCCATGGACTGCAGGACGCCACGCTTCCCTATCCATCACCAACTCCCAGAGCTTCCTCAAACTCATGTCCATCAAGTCGGTGATGCCATCCAACCATCTTATCCTCTGTCATTCCCTTATCCTCCTGCCTTCAATCTTTCCCAGCATCAGCGTCTTTTCAAACGAGTCAGCTCTTCGCATCAGGTGGGCAAAGTATTGAAGTTTCAGTTTCAGCATCAGTCCTTCCATGAACACTCAGGACTGATCTCGTTTATTAGCATGGACTGGTTGGATCTCCTTGCAGTCCAAGGGACTCTCAAGAGTCTTCTCCAACACCACAGTTCAATAGTATCAATTCTTCCACACTCAGCCTTCTTTATGGTCCAACTCTCACGTTCATACATGACTACTGGAAAAACCATAAGCTTAACTAGATGGACCTTTGTTGGCAAAGTAATGTCTCTGCTTTTTAATATGCTGTCTAGGTTGGTCATAGCTTTTCTTCCAAGGAGCAAGGGTCTTTTAATTTTATGGATGCAGTCACCATCTGCAGTGATTTGGAGCCCCCCAAAATAAAGTCAGCCATTGTTTCAGTTGTTTCCCCATCTATTTGCCATGAACTGATGGGACCAGATGCCATGATCTTAGTTTTCTGAATGTTGAGCTTTAAGCCAACTTTTTCACTCTCCTCTTTCACTTTCATCAAGAGGCTCTTTAGTTCTTC